AGGAATGTTAAGAAAGCATGACCGGTAGACATTACCACATTCTGCATTATGGACTCTAATCCTCACTACCCCTCACAAACTACATTTTGTTGGTTTTTGTGTTGCATATTAACTGTTCCCCTGTGATGTTTATTTTGCCATATTCTCAGTGGGTAGCCCAGATGTCTGTCTTGACCCTAGTTGATACCTGACTTGGGAATTTCTTAGGGCTCAGTCCCAGGTGTAAGGGCCTGGGGATAGGTGATAAGAAGAGACAGCTGAGATGGAATGAATAAAAAAGTCACCTGTATCCAGGAAGTCAGGAAGCTTTAATCATTTGTTATTCACTCACTCAATACACATTTACTGAGAACTCTTCTGTGCCAGTCCTTGTGGAGGACTCTGGATTTCTGCTGCCAAGAGGCTCACAGCCTCATTAGGGAATCAGACACATAAACGCCACGATAATACCTTCTGGTGACTGCAGCCATAAGAAAATGCTCAGGTGTGGTGCAGACCTGGGCTAGGGACCCTCACCCAGCCTGGGGCAGCCTGGAAAGCAGGAGGAGGTGGTGGTGCTGAATCTGAAGGAAGAGCCAGGAAAGCAGGGAGTGAAGAAGCATCGCCAAGAAAGGGGAGAGCAACCCCAGAAGGAAGACCAGCAGGCTGTGTTTGGGGACCACACTGTCTTTTGGCAAGGTTTGTCTTCATTTTCTATTGCTGCTATAAAAACAACAGAGGTGTTCTCTTGCAGTTCTGGGGGCCGGAAGTCAGAATTGAATCTTCTGGAGCTAAAACCAAGGTGTTGGCAGGGCTGCTTTCTTCTGGGAACTGCAAGGGAGAAGGTCCTTCCTCACCCCTTCCAGCTTCTGGCAGCAGTGGGTTTCCCTTCACACCCATGTCCACCTCTGTGGTCAGATCACTTCTCTTCTGTAGTCTAACCTCCCTCCCACCCCATAAAGATTCGTGCCATTACACTTAGGCCCCATCTGTATAATCCAGGATAATCTCCCCACCTCAAAATCTTTTTTTTTTTTTAAATATATTTTATTGTTTTTTTTTACAGAGAGGAAGGGAGAGAGCTAGAGAGCTAGAAACGTCGATGAGAGAGAAACATCTACCAGCTGCCTCTTGCACACCCCCTACCGGGGATGTGCCCGCAACCAATGTACATGCCTTGACCGGAATCGAACCTGGGACCTTTTAGTCCGCAGACCGACGCTCTACCACTGAGCCAAACCGGTTTCGGCCCAACCTCAAAATCTTAATCTTATCTGCAAAGTGCCTGTTACCAGGTCAAGTGACACACCTCACAGGTTTGGGGGATAATACTCTGGATATCTTTGGGGGCCACCACATTGCTGGGGGATAAAGGACAGGGAGGGAACAGGGAGAAGGGAGGCAGGTCCCTCATCTTGGACTTAGGATGTTTGTAGTCAAGGGTTTGGACACCTTCCCACAGGGTAAGGAGGTTTTGAAGGGATCTGATTGTATTTTAGAAAGATCACGCAATGCAGACAGTTGATTAGAGTGACCTAAAAGGGCAATGACATCAGAGGGGTGTCAAGAGGGTACAAATAAGTGATTCTTAGGATAGAAAGTCAGCAGGAGTTGGTTCTCAGATGAACATAGTTCATTTATAAATAAAGAGGGATTAGTCTGGCCAATTTGAAATGTATCCACCATGCTCTGGTTCTCAGTCTTGCTCTGATTTGCAGCAGGAGGCTGGAGTATTGCTGCCAGTAGAGCAGAGGAAGGGGCAGGCTAGGAAATCCGAATCCTCATTCCTAACTCTTACATTTCAACCATTCCAGGTAAAATGTTCCAGATAAAAATCGCCCCTGTGAAGATGACAAGCCTCCAGTAAAGGACACTTAAGGCCAGGCACTCTCCGGACCAGTAATTCTGGCTTTGTGCAATGATCTAATCACAAAATTTACCTTGCAAATGCCCTTCTCCCTGCTAACCTCCTCCCACTCTAAAAGAGGAAGAGGGAGTCACTGCTTGCAGACTTTTTAAAAAAGTATTCCTCTCTTCTTTCTCCCCACAAAGAACTTCCCAAGTTCTTTTTATTCATTTGGCTCTTTTCTGGGTACATGGGTCTCAATTGGGTTTGAAAACCTCTTCACTGGCCCTGTAAGACACTGATACCATTATCCTTGTTGATCTGGCATGGAAAGTTAGCTGCAGCTGGAAGGCACAGACTGGAAGGACAGGAACCTGGGGGCAGGAACTATTCCCAATATTGTGTCAGTTGCTGGGACACAGAAATGCAGCAAAGCCATGTAAACCCAGCAAAGCTATGTATACCACCAGCTTTGGCTGCAGTGTGGTGAGTGCAATCAGAGGGTGAGCAAAATCCTGTGGGAACACAGCCGCCTTGTGTTAGGCCACATAAACATTAGTGCTTCGATCTTCATTTCTGTTGGAGTTCGGTCCTTGACTAGAAATTCCGTCGGAGACGTGTCACTTCTATTTGAACAGTTGAAATGTTCAGAAATGTTACCTTTCATTGGGACTTGGAAGCAAAGCACCAAGACAGGGCATTTTTGATCTGCTGAGCTGGGTCCCTAACACAATTTAGGCAACATTACCCCTCCTGTCCAATGCACATGTCAGTTTCTGTTTGCAGGCACCCATAGATGCTTTTATGTAATACTAGTGGCCCGGTGCGCAAATTCATGCACGGGTAGGGTCCCTCAGGGTGGCCTGCAGGGATCAGGCCCCAGCTTGCCTCCCCCTCACCCCAGCTAGAGCCCCCAGTCTCACAGCCCCGCAGCCCTGCCTGGCACACTGCCATGGCCTGGCGCTGCCCCCTCACCTGTTCCACAATCTCACCTGTGGGTGATCAATGGGGTGGGACCCCTGCCCTGCTCCCTTAGCACCTGGGAGCAGGGCAGGGGTTACCATCTGTAGGGATTGGACCCCACTCACACCAACCTTGCTTGGTGCTGCTCACTCACCTGCTCCACAGTCCCACTTTCGTTGGGGTCCATTGGGGCCAGCAGTGCCTCCACTGCTGCCAGCTGTCAGCTCCGAGTTGCTAACACTAACATGTTTCGCCCCGCCCCCCTGCTGGTCAGGGCACATCATAGCGAGTAGTCAAAACCCCCTGTCCAATGACCTCCTAAGGGGACAATTTGCCTATTAGGCTTTTATTGTATAGGATGGGATCTTTTTGTAATTAGAGGAAGAGAGCAGAGTGTTTGGTTGGAGGAGGTCAGAGGTGGGTGGTTTAGTCTTTGTTCCTTCACTAACCCCTTGGATGGGTTTTGAAACTCTGTGGTTAGAGGACTGAAAGTTAGATTTGGAAGGAACGTTTCATGACAGGAGATATAATACATTGGGCACAAGTGACCCGGTTTAGGGTTTGGGTAACAAAAGAGCAAAGAGTATGCAAGTTAGGAAGAAGGACTTCCTCCCCACCTGTGAGTGGAACCCAGCTCTGCTTTGGAATCCTGAAGATTAGAATAATGACACAAGTATCCAAGATCTTGGAATAATGACAAAGGCTCTGACAATCTTATGACAGGCACTGAACCCAGTGGGCTGTGTGGGTAGCAGGGTGGACACAAGATAGCTGGTGGTTGTTGACTCATGTTTCTGGGTATATGTGAGGTATCCCTTTGAGACTCCCTAGAAATTACTGAGCATTTTTTGGGAGGGAGACTGAGGCACTATTGTTATATAAATGGGAGTTTGAATCAGTGTAAAATGGACACTGAAAGCAAATGTGACCATAATTTGTAATCATAATCTCAGCAGTGCTATACAAAGTAGTTAAGAAGCAAAGCAAAATGCAGGACAACTGAAGCAAAATATTTACAGAATAAGTCAGAGTCCAAAGACCACTTGGAAAGCAAGGACTGTGACCTGAAACCCAAAAATAAAATGGAAAGGAATTACTTTTTCTTTTACTTTAAAACTTATTGACAACAGGAAAGGGTAAACTTGCAGGGTTTTGAAGCACTTACATATTGGTTACTTGGTAAATGTTTCCTTCTTTGCTCTTCCTTCCTTCCATCCTCCTTTTTAAATAAAGGTGCTGTTTTAGATAAACTTGGATTGTAAGACACTCCCGACAGAACAGAAGCAACTTGCTCTACCTCAGAGCTTCCTTTTTTCCTTCTATAATATTATCATTATACCCGTGGGGGTGAGAGGGACGGGAGGGACGAATGAGGTTGGGGGCTTACTTGACCCGATTTCAGGTCTCAAAAAGAAATAGTGGCACTATGAGACTAATCTAGAGTTTAGATTGTTCCCGCACTGCCACCTGCACCAACAGTTGTCAACAGTGGTTGCACAGTCCAGTTCTCTGAGGAGCTTTAAAAAATATGCCAACGGATCCCTGTCAGTCCAGTTAGCAAAATAGTTAAGATAATAGAAGTAGGAGCCAGACTCTGAGTTAAATCCTTCCTCTGTCACCTCCTAGCTGTGTGACCTCAGCAAGATACTCAGCTTCTCTGTGCTTAGGTATTCCCCTTTGTAAAGGGTCAATAATAACACCACCTTTTGTGGGGTTGTCCTAAGGATTGAGTTCATAGGAATGAGGCGCTTAAAACAGGGCCTGACATAGATAATCGCTAAGTAAAATCCTGCCAAATAGAACCGGGGAATCAAGTTTTTGACAAGTACTCCCCCTCCGGATTCTAATCTGCAACCTGGGTTTTCCATCTGCAATGGAGTGCCACTTTTGGGATTCCGCTTCCCGAAAAGTTGACATTAACCAATCGAAGAAGGGAGCTTTTTTTTTTTTTTTTTTTTTTTTTTTTTTTTTTCCCCTTCCTTTTCCTCCAATAAGATTTTGAGCTCAGAAACCTGTTACCTGAATCCAGTGGAGCGGAGGGGTTTTCCCTACACTTCCTGGGAGTTGTAGTTTGCCAAACGTCCTTGTAAGCGCTCGGCGGCCAGACTGGAACTACAATTCCCACAACGCCGCGCGCCGCCCGCCCGGCTTCTCGTTGGTGACTCTCTCCGGCTTTCCAGTACCGCCTCCGGGCGGTTGCAGCAGAGGCACTATGGCCGACGACGGCGGCGGCGGCGGTCCTGCCGAGGCGTCGGATCCCGGGGACTCCCCGGGCCGGACGCCAGCCCCACGCGCGGCCGAGCCGGGTGGTGATGGTGGCGGCGGCGGCGGCAGCGGCAGCGCCGGCGAGACCCCGCGGACGGCGGTGCTGGCGCTCCGCTTCGACAAGCCCATCAAGCAGGCCTTCTACAACACCGGGGCCGTGCTGTTCGTGTGCCTGTGCTGCGCCGCCGCCGTGCTCGTCTACTTCATCCTGGAGGCCTTCCTGCGGCCGCTGCTGTGGGCCGTGCTGTGCGGCACCTTCCTGCACCCCTTCAAGAACTCGCTGACGCGCCGGGGCCGCCGCTGGCTGCTGCGCCTGCACCGCGCGCGCACGCCCATCCTGCTGGCCGCGCTGCTGCTGCCGCTCTGCTTCGCCGACTACGGCGTCGAGGCGCTGGGCGAGCAGGCGCTGCGCCGCCGCCGCCTGCTGCTGCTGCTGGGCGCGGGCGGCCCGCTCCTCTACGGCCTCTACAGCCTGGGCAGCTACCTGGGCGTGCAGGTGCTGCTGGCGCACGCCGGCCTGCTCATCTGCCGCGGGCTGGACTACTTCAGCAGCCTGTGGGTGAGTGAGCCAAGGCCCGGGCCCCCCCTCGGGGCTCCCGGCGGGCACGCTGCACCCCCTTCCCTGCAGCCCCGGCGCCCCGGGGTGCGACTCTGCAACTCCTTCTCCAGGTGCAAGGGCGACCAAAGTTCCATCCCAGTGCGGCAGCGGCAGCCTCCGCCTTCCTGCTTTCTTTCCTTCCCCAGCATCTGCATCTGCGGAACTTGGCGCACTTCCTTCCGACGGGAGGGAGGGTGTGGTTGGAAACAGCCTCCCAGCCAGCCCTTCCCTCCCCCGCGCCCATCCTAGCAGGTTCTCCTTAGGAGGGCGCGCCCCCCAGTTGGGGATCACAGTTCCCGCTTTGCAGGTGGGGGCTCCAGAGCATCAGCAGATGGACTTGAATTTATTCCTGGTCACGGGGGTGGGAGCAGGTGGACTTTTCTGGATGTCAGCTGGAAAGGACCTTAAGAGTTGCTCGTTTAGCATGTCGTGAGTGGAGAGGTGACTTCTAACCGTGCCAGGGCTAGTTAGGGACAAGCAGGGGACTCGTTGACTCACGTATCTCAAGTCCTGAAACAACAAGTTTCTTCATAGTCCGGGGCTGCCCCTCAGTTCAGGTGATTTCTCTGTACTTTGTGCCAGGCCCCGGGTGCTGAGCCTGGCCGCACTCTGCTTCTTTGGAGCTACTTACATTGTGCAAGCACAGCTATACCTCAGTGCATCTCCTCCTGTGGATTACTTAAGCAGACTGGGTGGAAGAGAGGTAGATTCCTGATTCTTGGATCACCCTGGGCTCATTCTTAGAAAATTGGGGAGTTTTAGAATTGGAAGGGACTTCAAGGATAATTGAGTGACACAATTCCTAACTCAGATCAGATTGTAGACCAGTTCATTCAGATATTTAAAAAACAAGTGGATATTTATTTATTTAATTTTATTTTTTTAAATATATTTTATTGATTTTTCACAGAGAGGAAGAGAGAGGGATAGAGAGTTAGAAACATCGATGAGAGAGAATCATCGATCAGCTTCCTCTTTTGCACACCCCCTACTGGGATGTGCCCGCAACCAAGGTACATGCCCTTGCCTGGAATCGAACCCGGGACCTTTCAGTCCTCAGGCTGACGCTCTATCCACTGAGCCAAACCGGTCCTGGCGCAAGTGGATATTTAATGCACAAGAATGCCAATTTATCAATAAAGTGTACTATTAATTTTTTAAAATATATATTTTATTGATTTTTTTTTTTTTTTTTTTTTTACAGAGAGGAAGGGAGAGGAATAGTCAGAAACATCCATGAGAGAGATGCCTCTTGCACACTCCCCACTGGGTTTGTTCCCACAACCAAGGTACATGCCCTTGACCAGAATCGAACCTGGGATCCTTGAGTTCTCAGGTCGACGCTCTATCCATTGAGCCAAACCAGTTAGGGCCCATTAGAATTCTTTAATCCTCTTTTGTCAATGTTTCTCAAGTTGCAAAACAATTCTCCTTATCTGTCCAGCAGGGTATTGACGTGCTCGAAGTTATTGGTAGAGCGATGATTGATCCCAGAACTGCTGTCTTCTCTTGGTCTATCAATACCACTTCTCAGGTCAAGTTAAAAGTCCATTATGTTGGGTGCTGGGCTTTGTGAAGAATTGAAAAGCAGTAAGATGAAGGCTCTGACTTCAAGGTGCATATAGTCATACGTGTACATAATCTAATGGAGATTACAGACTCACAGGAATACATATGTTCATTACCCACCAATTATGGGCCAGCAAGGTATCGGGGAATATCTCATCCATAATTTTGCAATGCTGCCCGTGCGTGCAACAGCTGAGTGATCAGACAGAAGCCTTGGCCTCTAAGTTTCAGTTGCGGAGGGAGGGGTGTGCAACAACCCCCTCTAACTCTGGGGATCTTGTGGTTGTCAGGCGGAAGTGACCCCAGAGTTAAGCTACTCTTTCCTGCCGGATGCCTGCTTCTCTTCAGGAGAGGTTTCTGAGGTCCAGAGAATGTTTCACAGTTCAGTAAAAGTTCATTGAATACCTCTTATGCAGAAAGCAGAATAGTATATGCTGTTAAGAAATAGAAAGACTATTTTGGCCGGATTCCTAGATCCTCAAGAAATTCAATCCTGTCAAAAGTCAGATACATTTATAGAGTCTGCTAACAGTTTTCGACTGTTGATATTACAACTTACTGTAAATTACTGTAACCAAGGCCAAGTATTTTATCCACTGCACTCTAGGAGGGTAGAAAAGAAAGCCCTAACGGATGTGGTGTGTTTTCATACTAGAATAAGAAGTTAAATACATGGGTAAATGGTCATGAGTAGTGGAAAATGAACATTTCTGTCAGTCACTCTCAGCAGAAAGAGATGAGGAATTAGATACTTTTAAAAAGGTGTTCTCTTGGCTCAGTGGTAGGGCATCGGTCTGCGGACTGAAGGATCCCAGGTTCGATTCTGGTCAAGGGCATGTACATTGGTTGCGGGCACATCCCCGGTAGGGGGTGTGCAAGAGGCAGCTGGTCCATGTTTCTCTCTCATCGACGTTTCTAGCTCTCTATCTCTCTCCCTTCCTCCTCTCTGTAAAATATCAATAAAATACATTTAAAAAGGTGTTCTCAATTCAGTGTAGTATACAGTATAGGTTTGAATATTGTTTTACTGAACATAAACCCTCATGTTTGTATTTTACTTAAATGCCCTTGTATGGTTTGTGGATGAGGAGAAAGGGCCAAGGTTGATTAGGTTAGAGCAGTGGTTGGCACACTGCGGCTCTTGAGCAACATGTAGCTCTTTGGCCCCTTGAGTGTGGCTCTTCCACAAAATACCACGGCCTAGGCGAGTCTATTTTGAAGAAGTGGCATTAGAAGAAGTTTAAAAATTTGGCTCTCAAAAGAAATTTCAATCATTTTACCGTTGATATTTGGCTCTAATGACTAATGAGTTTGCTGACCACTGTGCTAGAGGTAGGGAGGAAAGTCAAGACAATTAATAGTATAAAAAAAAGGCTTGAAACTCAGCTGTTTGGCTGTAGTAGTAGGGGCAAGGGAGAGAGGAGGGTGTAAAGAGACAATATGAGATCATTAGAACTGAGTAGGGAGTGGTAGAGGGACTAAATTGAAAGTAGAGCTGGAGATTGGTCTGAGTTTGAGAGAAACAGGCTTGCAGTTGTGTTTCAGCACTGGTGTTGGGGGGTTGGGTGGGGATGAGGTGTACCTGGGCAGCAGAGACAAGGCGTTTTCAGCTCTCAGGCAAAAGTGCTCATTAAGGCCTGACATGACCTGAACATGAGTCATGTGACTGGGCAGGGGTCCCACGCTGTAACTTTTCTGTCACATAGTTCACAGTCAGTTTGATTTTGTAATCCCAAGCAGGGCTGCCCTTTAAAGAAAACGAGTCTTTATGCTTTTTGGACAACTTGTAAGTTTGAGCCTGCTGCACATATATCAATAGATGGGAGAGGCAGAGGGGAAAGGTACATTTACACATATCCACATTTGGTGAGTTGACAATTCATACAGTTGAGATGCAATTTTTTAAAAAAATATATTTTTATTGATTTCAGAGAGAAAGGGAGAGGGGAGAGAGAATAGAAGCATCAATGATGAAAGATAATTACTGATTGGCTGCTTCTTGCACGCTCCCTACTAGGGATCGAGTCTGAAACTTGGGCATGTGCCCTTGACCAGAATCAAACCTGGGGTCCTTCAGTCTGAAAGCTGACACTGTCCGCTGAGCCAAACTAGCTAAGGCATTGGGATGTAATTTTTGAGCCATGATCCAGGCACTGGATTAGGTGCTTTCGTGTGTGTTATTTCATTCTCACAACAATCCTGTGCAGTAGGAGGGGATTTTGCAGGTGAGAAGACTGACTAGAGATTAATTTGTTCTTTTTAAAAATCTATTTTTTATTTCAGAGAGGCAGGGAGAGGAAGAAAGAGATAGAAACATCAATGATGAGAGATAATCATTGGTTGGCTGCCTCCTGCATGCCCTCTATCCGGGACCGAGCCCACAACCTGGGCAGTACCGTGGCGGAGAATTGAACCATGTCCTTCTGGTTCATAGGTTGGTGTTCAACCACTGAGCTACACTGGCTGGGCTATTCTTTCTGTTAGAAAATTGTATTCAACAGACCTGTCAGCAATTGAAATCCTTTTGTCATCAAGACCTTCAATAAGGATTTTTAAAAGTTTTACTCCAGTACGTTGTGTTTAAATTGTTAGTTTAAGTTTTTAGTATGATTTGATTTTAGTTATTAGGGGGAAAAATGGAAGAACATCAGGGATTGGACTAACCACATGTGTTCCCCCAAAGACCCCTGGATTCTAGTCAACTAGAAATCTTAGCCATCTCTCTGTTCTTTGCTTTTATCCTTGTTCAGTTATCTTCAATTCCTGTTCAGTTTTCCTTTGTAGCGACTTCAGTGCCTTTATTTCCCTTTGTTCTCAGTTTATCTTTCTCGTTCCGTTCCTCTTCCCCTCACTTGTAGGCTCTTAGCTCTTTTCCTATGTCTCCTAATAATTGCATCCTGCTTACAGTGAAGACTAATCATTTGTGGCGTGGGTAGTTCTTTTTGAACAGTTTCAAATATATTAAGGATATTGCACTGACTCCGTAAGTGATTTCTAAACACTTAAAAAAAAAAATAACTTGTTGGCCCATGCTCACATGTGACTCAGTCCTTCAGGTACTTGGCATCTCTCCTAGTGGTGGCGGCGTGGGTTTGTCCAGATAAATATGAAAAGCTCATGGCTTCCCCTGCTCCACCATGTTTCTTTGCTGGGAGTGTCTTGCTTTTCTTCCCTCCATTAATTCAGACTTGTTGGAACATTCGCAGACCATTTACAATATTTGCAGTAGTAATAGGTTTGTTTTCTCGGTGGCCTATAATCGCATTATTCTCATTGCACTTCATAAAGAAGCATGTGGTGGAAAGAATAGTGGCTGAGTAATGAGAAGAGTATAAATTCTACGCTGAGCTCTGTCAGTAACTTGCTTCTCGACCTTGAACAGACCAGGCCTCCTCTCTGGTACTCGGAGGGTTTCTAAGGCTCCTTGGTGGTTAGTTTTACAGCGTGGCGAGTTTGGCAGCATTGCAGGTGAGGCTCTTAGAAAGTGTGCATTAGCCATCCAGGCCTACTCAGGGCCACTTCTGAGCCCCGGTGCCTTTCTGCTTGTCCGGCAGCAGTGAGGAGGAGGATTTCCAGTGCTTGCTTAGATTTCAGGGAACGATTTCGATTTTATAAGATTCTTGACTCAAGTTCCCAGACCACAAAGAGAACAGTTATTCAAGTTAGCATTAAGCTGTCTTAAAAGAGAATGAAGTACTGGAAGCAAGAGGTGATGGGGGCTGTGACGAGGGCTGTGGCTCCATAACTTGGGAAGAAGTCTGTTGGTTTAGTCTCTCTTGTTCAAGACTTAGAAAAGTAAGAAAAAGAAAAAAGACTTAGGAAACTGTTTTGCAGAAACATGCAACAGAAGCAAGCCAAGTTGTCTTTGTAGTTAATGCCCAGATGAAAATAAAGAAAACAATGACTTAGTTTAAAAGGCAGAATCTACTTACAGTTTATGCATTTACTATTTTTTAATCAGAGAAGTATATAGGGGTAATAAGTCAAGTGAATGGCAAATGTGACTTTCTAACTAAAAATTTGTTTTTAGCTTGCTTTACTTGTAGTGCTTTGCCAATTTTTATGCAGTCTTAATATAGTATCTAGCATACATTATGCAGATCCTTATATAATGATTCAAAACGAGCATTGAATGTATATTTTGAAAAGGACACATTGTTTTAAAGAAAATACATTTGGGAAGGTATGATCTGTTGTGTATACACTTTGCTCATTGATTTATGCTGGGAAGAAAATTCATACTTGAACAGGTTTGCTCAGAAGCTAAGCATATCTCTTTGGGAAAGAAATAAAAAAAACTCTCTTAAAGGCCAGTTAGGAATCCATACTAGAAATTACGTGTGGAAATTGAATGTCCAAATCCTTATTTTGAGTTTAAGTTATTTTAAAGAATATTTAGCAACTTAAAAAGTTGACTCAGGTAAAACATGCTTATTATATTTTAAAAAATTTAAGTAGCATATAAGTTTTATGGTAAAACTGAATTATTGTCTCTTCTGCTATCATTTCCACTGTACAAATGTTACTGACAAATAGTCTTCTAAATTTATTTCTGCCTATGTGGATATATAAAGTGTAGGATTTTTGCTTTTTAAAACAAAATGAGGATAACGTATGTATAAAACTCTGCACCTTGGTCTTTAATTTATCATTGTATTGTAGACATCTTTCCTTGTTAGTACTTACAGATTATGCTTCTTTTTTTAAATAGTGCTATAGTATACAGACTTTTTTTCTAGATGCCTTTTAGAAAGTGTTTCATCCAGATTATATTAACTGTGAATCTGTATTAGGATAACCTGGTAAACATTTTTAAACATTGCTTATTGTAAAATAATGGTTTAATAGGAACTTTAAGTGTTTTTATAAATGGCCATACTTTTTGCGCTAATAATATTCTGTGACTCTTCTGAGGAAATACTTCAAAATATTGAAGGTAAAAAATCCAAAGTAAGCTGAAACCGGTTTGGCTCAGTGGTAGAGCGTCGGTCTGCAGACTGAAGGGTCCCGGGGATGTGGCCGCAACCAACGTACATGCCCCTGACCGGAATCGAACCCGGGACCCTTCAGTCCACAGACCGACGCTCTACCACTGAGCCAAACCGGTTTTGGCAAAATATATTTTTTTAAAAATCCAAAATAAGGCCAAAGTGTTTTTTGTTTGTTTGTTTGTTTTAACATTTACTAGTTATAAAAGTAATAATCCTCTTAGGAGAAAATTCAGTATTTGAAGAAAAGCATAAAGAAGCAAATTAAACCCTGAAATCCAACCAGCCAGGGAGAACACATTTTTAGCATTTTGAGAGTATAGTTGACCATTATAAATTTGCACTTGCACAAATTTATAGTGTATCATTGAATCTAGATATTCATCATGAAATATCTAGAAATTTTGAAAGTCTGAATAATTGTTTCATTTTTGGAGATACCATTATTTAAATAGTTCTAAAATGACATTTTAGCTTGTTATAAATTTTTTAGTATTTTAAACTGCCACCGCATTTGCATATCTGTCTGCACAGTGTACAGTGCTTCTGTAGACAACATTCCTAAAAGTGGAACGGAGGTGTCTATTTCAGTGGTCATTTTAAACTGGAATGGGATGATCTGGAGTTTCAGGTTTACTGGGTGAAAACACATGCTTCACTTTGGACCATGAGTTTCCCTTAGAAAATCTGAAGTATGTAGTCTGGTTTCTTTTGTTTGTTTTTTTCCTCTCTCCCTAATAGTGATACTGATTCCTAAGTACAAAGAACAAAACTTCTTGGAGATTGGTTTTAAAATGTAGATTTAAATCTGAAAGTTTGTACCTTTTGTGATCCTCTAGTTTAACTTCTCACTGCTAAGGGGGAGATGTTCCTACGTTGCCATCCCTGACTGATGGTTAGCCCTAGCTCAAACACTCTGAGTGGTGGTAGCCTTATTCCAATTTTAGCTTGCTGTAGTTTGTTAGAAAGACTTATCCTCAGATTAAGCTAAAATGGGTTGCTTCCTAATCCTACCTAAATTTTCAGAAGACTGTGTAATGCTTTCCCCAGAGGAATTTCGCAGCTATTTAAAGATAGCTATCAAATCTTGACATTTCCTTTTCTTTTCTAAGCTAAAAGCCCCCCTCCCTCCCGCTATAACCATATCTCCAATGTTGTCGTTTCCATTTCCTTCTCCTCTTTATTTACTTATTTTAGCACACTGTTCTTTCTCCTGGTTAAGAAAGCAGACTCTGGAGCTAGAGTTCTGGGTTCTGATCCCGGCTTTGTCACTTTTTAGCTGTGTGACCTTGGGCAAGTCACTTCTCTGAAGTCTCAGTTTCTTTCATCTGTAAAATGGGAATCATAGTACTTATTATTTTAACCTTTTCTTGTGTGTGTGGTTTTTTTTTAAATACATTAATCTATAGAGAAAACTTAAAGAATTCCATAAACTCCATGGCTTAAAAATGAAATATTTTACCTTAATGATCTTTATGCATATAATAGTTTTTGAACTTTAATTTTTCTTAAGTTAAAACTAATGTATTTTTGCTTAAAAATATTTAAATAACATCACTCCATGGGATTTTAAATGCTTGTTTACCTTAAAACTTGACTGACCTTATAGCAGCACCTGCCGTCAGCCTTCTCTGTGCTATGACCACAGCTCTCACGTGATAGAGATGGTTGCACATTTTGTACAATTGTATGTATTTCCATGTGTATATATTTTACAACTGTGTCTATATTTCATTTATTTAAGATCTGGACGTTGGTAGTTGGCTATCTGTTGACTGTTTCATTCAAGTGGAATGCAAGCACTGAGCGCTACTTGAGAGCAATTTCAATTCCTGTCTGGATTATATTGCTTTTTCATTTAGGTGGGTCACTTTTTCTAAGAAAGTTTAGCTTAAGGTCAGCAACAGCAGACCACGCAAATCAAAGTGATTTTTTTTTTTTGTAGTGTTATATGTTATATTTAAAATTCTTTAAAGTAATTTCTAGAAAATATTCTGCTTTAATATTTTATTAATAATTTAATGGAAATGTTATGCTTTAAAATGTCTATCTTTTAGTTAAATGGAATGCTTATTTACAAAAAGGCCCTTTTAAAAATAGCCATATCTTAAAAAGTAGAGCACACTTGGATTATTATCATGGCTATTTCTGAGTGTCGGTACCCCGAAGAAGGATGTAGATAAGCAGTCAAGTATGATAAGAGGTGCTCAGAATCACACTTGAGAAACAGTGAAAGGAACCGGAGATGTTTACTCTGGATAAGAGAGGGGACTGGGCTGCCGGGCGGGTGAGAGGTGGAGGTAAGGAGGATATCAGACATGGAAGCCTGTCCCAGGAAAGTGGTTTAAACGTGTGGGAGAGAGGTACAGCAGTGAGTATTTTCAGAGGGAAAAATCTCCATTCAACAGAAGGAAGATTGGCCTCAGAGCTGCACAACATAATTCTGTTATTTGGGACTGCACTGTTCGCTGAGTGACTGAAAGGTTGCTATAAAGTGAGTTTTCAGGGACTTTTCTTATTTTCAAGTCTGAGTCTATGGAAATATTTAGTTCTAATTTAAAAACAAATTAGTAACCAAGAGTAGTAGGTAGCCTATTTAAAGTAGTTTTTAAAGCTAGCTATTGTTAAAAGTTGGAAGGAAAAAAAAAGAATTGATTGAGAAAAAGACGTCTCTGCTTAGAGCCTGGAGTTGAGGGCAGGGTTACCCTCTAACTTTGCTGACTTGGAATGCTGGGGGAGTTTTCAGCAAGACCCCCTACAACATGACTCCACTCATCTTGAATTGAAGGAAGGCAGAGGAGGGAGGCAGGTGCGTAAGACTCTAGGCTAATGGCAGACCCCTGTTAGCATTCTGCACCAGGGAGGATGCGTCGAAGCTTTTTGTGGTGCTCTTTTGGGCTGTTCCCCCCCTTTCTTGAGACAGTTCACCTCTAGCAGTATTTTTAGGAAATCAAGTGAGGCCCAGGACTTTAGGATCCATGCCTTATGCAGATGCCTGACGCAGGTCATTCTGGGATTATTTGGGCTTGAAATAGTCTTAAAGCCTGGATATGCTTCAGAAGAGGACTTTGTTCCTCAAGTGATACAAGCCTATTGCAGGTAGGCTGGTCCATGCCCAGTCCTTGGGACCAGGGCCTCTTAGAGAAGTCCAGTATTTAGGTTTCATCTGTCATTTTCCCTATGAAACACTTTTGTTAACATATATGCCAAATTGTTCTTTTAAAGTGTTGGGTTCTTTTTTTTTTTTTTTAATTAAAAATGTTAACTCTTAATAATTTGCAGCATCTCTGGCTGGCTCATGGAGAATTCCAGTATTCCTGGTTATTGTTTTCCTGATGTCAGTGGGCACCCTCTATGAAAAACAGAATGGAAAAGAATCTTCTGGTAAGAAATAAGGCATCTATTAATATTACTGTTAAGAGTAGCTTTGTTTAAAAAAAAAAAGCTATGATGAAATAGCTTTAAATGTACTTAAAAACCTATGATGTTTTCTGAACAGTAAATTTATTTAAAATATTTTAAGTTGTTAGACTATATCTCATGCTTTTTTGCATTTTTTTTTTATTGAGGTATAACTTATAAAATTAACCATTTTTAAAGTAACATTTAGTACATTCATAGTGTGTGCAACCATTACTTCTGCCTGATTCCAAGATACTGTCATTACCCTAAAAGGAAATCTTTACCAGTTAAGCAACTAACTCTGTAGTTAGGTTAATTTGAGATCTTTGTGCTTTCTTAATGTAGGCTTTTATAGATATAAATTGCCCTCTTAGAACTCCTTTTTTGATACATTGTGTTTCTATTTTCCCTGAGTAAAGATACTATGTGATTTCCGTTTTGAGTTCTTTGACACATGGATTCAAGTGTGTTGTTAAATTTCCACCTATTTGTGAATTTTCCAAGTTTGGTGCTTGCACTAATTGCCAAATCCATGGTCATGAATATTTACCTGTGTTCATCGTGTATCCTGCAACTCTGCTAAATTTGCTTATTAGCTTTAATAATTTTTTTTGGTATGAATTCCCTAGGATTTTGTATATGTAAGAGCATGTCATCTGCAAATAGTTGTACTTCTTCCGTGCTCATTTGGATGCCCTTTGTTTTTTTTCTTGCTTGATTTCTATGGTTAAAACTTCTAGTACAATGTTCAATACACCAGGTTCTTTTAAATATTATTTTTGGTTGTAAATGGTTTTATTCAAAAACAGTTTGTTAAAGATATGACTTTCTAATGAGTTGTAAGGGGAGAGCTGAGGGTGGGGGAGCAATAGTGCTCAGGTCATCGGACTGGACTTACTCGTTGACCAGCCATGTGGAGGCGGCTATGCCTTGAGAGGTAAATCTGAAGAGCACACAGCTATTCCAGTGTCTGATATTTGTTCCTTATTTCTTTCTGATGGTATACATAAGCTAAAAGAGCAAACAAGTCTCATTCCAGCCTGCTTCGGAATAGGTTATTCTTGATCTAAAATCCTTTTATGGACTTCTGGTCTAGACAATTCTTATAATAAAATAAATCTTCCAAACTTTTTTTTTTCTTCTAAATTTCTGAGTATTTTTTCTCTCTTGTCCCTAGAACATGTTTCTTTGAGGCATCAGAACTCAAATCCCCTAGTCCAGGGGTCAGCAAATCACGGCTCACGAGCCACATGCAGCTCTTTGGCTCCTTGAGTGTTCTAATGCCATTTCTTCAAAATAGACTCGCCCAGGCCGAAAACTGACTTCTGTGCATGGGCCACGAAGTTTCAATTGCACTGTATGTGCGCGCCCGCATGTGGTATTTTGTGGAAGAGCCATACTCAAGGGGCCACAGAGCCGCATGTGGCTCGGGAGCCACGGTTTGCCGACCATGGACCTAGTCCATACTGGGACACAGCTTTTTCCTTTGATTATGGTCCGTTCCCTCCTGTAGATGTCACCGTAGCGTAGCTAGGTACAGGACCGCTTCAGTGTATTGCCATGGCGTGCTTGCATTTATTCCTCTCCTGTCCTTTCCACTGCCCCATTCGTTGTAGGACCTGCTCTTGTATCCCAGTCACCTGTGTAGGCATCTCTCTCAGTGTCTTTTGAACTTTGAATCTTTTGCTGCTGTGGACGCTTTTATGACCTGTGGTTCACTGGATTCACAGAATGAATTAATCCTTTGGATTTCCTCAGAATTCATTACGCCCACAAAACTCCTCTTGTGAATCATTGCTGAGTTAGCTTTAGAGGCTCCTTCTGAATCCAGGGGCCTTGCCAGTGTTTTCCCTTAGACCTTGGGAGCTCTTGGTGTTTCCTGAAATCCCCAAGATAATGTAGAGAAAAAAATGTTAAATGTGTACCATGCTTTTAAATGTACTCTCTCTCTCTCTTTTTAAGAATGGTTATCTCCATTCTGCGGGTGAAGACACTTTATCCCAGAGATTAGCTGGTGACTGGTGGAGCTAAGAGATAAACCCAGGTCTTTGACCCTAAGCCTAGCGTTCTTTCCCTTCGCCGGGCTCTTTGAACAAGCGTCGGTCACCCTGGAAAGGTGCTGACTGCTGATCCTCTTGAACCCAGTTGTGATTGCCAGCTGCTTCAGTCTTTTATGTTGGTTCCCCTGGCTTACCACGGCGGTGGGACCTAGGTGCTCTGTCTCCTGGATCCCAGAGTCTCACTTGGTAGAAACCTGGAATCCGGCTTCGCTGTGTTCCCTTAGCCTGTGAGAAAAGGGGAGCAATAGCGTCGTTGTTAGTAATGACAGTATGGGCAAGGCCCTGGTAGACTCTTGAGGCATGCTGTCTCATGTCTTTTACTCATTTAAATTTACTCTGAATATGAGAAGTACTTCTTCAAAAGCCAGGCAAACACACCAGCTGTATCTTTAGTAGCCTGGACACCCAGTTGAGAAGTACGGGCAAGTGAAGCTGGATCCGTTCCTCCTAAAATTGGTAATTGTTTATAAGTGACCTTCTAAAAGTCTCTTTGCAGGAAGACGTGGTGGTTGCCTTAATTGTTTTATTATAGGACAGCATGCAATAGGAGTGAAAAAGTTTGGTCCACTTAATCCAAAATTGGAAAGAGAAAAGGAACAAACTAGATTTTTTTTTTTTTTACTGCTCATCTTCCACTCCCCATTTCTGACACTGTCAGTTAAAGAGACATAGAGAGCCTCCTACTGGTACATATCCACATCCTTGATACTGACTAATAGTACAACGAGATGATACTGGAAACCATTGAGAAGGAAATGTATTTTCCACATTAGTAATGGACACACAAGAATCAAGTCTCATTTAGATTGGTTTCAAAATATATTTTCCCCTGATTTAAAAAAATGTTATTCTGCCCATTGCTTATTAACAGATAAAGTTTGAACATGTGATTTGTTATTCTTTTTGTTTTGCTGGATTATGAGTTTCTGTCCCCTGGAGCCAGGCTGCTTTGGACTTGCGTAGATCCTGTTACTTGGACCTCTGAATGCTCTCCCTATTCCTGGGTAGATGGACACTTGAAACCTTGGGTGCTCTTTCCTTTTTTGTTTATAGTTCTTGGGCCCCAAGATTATGTTCCTTTGTCTGTATGTCTATTTTTAGATGGGACTTTTTGCCAGTACCATGACAGTCTAGATTCTCAGTCCTGGAGTTTTCTGTCTACTTTGTCATCCTTTTTGCCCAAACCCTTGGGGTTTTTGCAGTGCAGGTGGATATCACTAAGACAGAAGTCGTTAGAATGCCTGTTTGAATAAGATCAGTTTCCTAATCTTACCTTGATAGTTTTCAGATACTCTATGTTGATTTTTTTTTTCTTTTAAAAGACTATTTTATTTTTTTATTTTTATTTTTTAATATATTTTATTGATTTTTTTACAGAGAGGAAGGGAGAGAGATAGAGAGGTAGAAACGTCGATGAGAGAGAAACATCGACCAACTGCCTCTTGCACACCCCCTACCGGGGATGTGCCCGCAACCAATGTACATGCCCTTGCCCGGAATCGAACCTGGGACCTTTCAGTCCGCAGACCGATGCTTTACCACTGAGCCAAATCGGCTTCGGCTCTATGTTGATTTTCTGTGTGCTCTTCTTGGCAAATAACCACTGGTCTGGTGGATCATTAATAACCATTTTGTTTCGCCTGGCTGGTGTGGCTTAGTGATTGAGCATCGACCTGAGAACCAGGAGGTCACGGTTTGATTCCCGTTCAGGGCACATGGCTGGGATGCACCCAGTCAGGGACGTGCGGAAGGCAGCAGGTGAATGACTCTTTCTTGTCACTGTTATTTCTCTCTCTCTTTTTCTCTCCCTACCCCTTCCTCTCTGAAATCAATAAAAATATATATTAAAAAAAAATTTTATTGCTAGTAAAAATTTAGGACTACTATGTTTCAATTTGCAAGTTAATTCCCACTTTGTTCATTTGCGTTAAAAAGTTTTAAAAATGCATGCTTGTTTTACAGGGGCAGAGTTACCAGGACAAGTTATCTCCATGGCTGCTTCTACTCTGGCAACCTTGGCCATCTCTATCACAGGGTATGAATCGAGCACTGAAGACCAACCCTCCACTCAGCCTGCAGGTGACTGACCTTATGAAGGAACTAGTGGCCTGTTGCGAATTGTGCACATTAAAAGGAAATTAATTAGAAGAAATATCTTAATAATGCTATTCATCCTTTCTCTATGATAGAAATGTCAACCAAATTCATGATTGATAATCAATGACAGATGGAAACACATGCATACGATTGGCACCAGCGAGAGCTTTATATGTACTGTACATGTGCGAGCCAACTTAGCCTTTTTTTTTTTTTTTTTAATTTATTGATTTTTCACAGAGGGGAAGAGAGAGGGATAGAGAGTTAGAAACATAGATGAGAGAGAATCATCGATCAGCTGCCTCCTGCACACACCCACTGGGGATGTGCCTGCAACCAAGGTACATGCCCTTGACCGGAATCGAACCTGGACCTTTCAGTCCGCAGGCCGACGCTCTATCCACTGAGCCAAACTGGTTTTGGCCCAACTTAGCCTTTTAAGGATATAGAACAAACTTGCTTAATTAGATCTGTTTTCTGATTTAGCTAAACTTTTTCCAGCCAAGTGAAGCACCCCAACTTCTCTTTAGGTAATTGTCAGCAACACATCAGTAAATATCAATGGAAGCAGATTATTATTATAGATCACTCAGGTAAAATATTTAGCTGCAGCAGTGTTTGACTATATTTTGTGCAGTGAGAAAATCTGAAGTCATTTTTAAGGTTTACCATTTCTTACTTTTCAGTTGAGTCAAGTTTCTAAACTTTCTAAATTTCCGTTTCCGGCTAGTGAAAAAAAAAAAAAATAGGATTCCATCGAGTCTCCTATCTAGCTACTCCAGGATTTCTGTGAGGATCACATGAGATGAGGCATGGGAAAACACTTCACAGACGTTTGGTTAAAGTGTAAAATGTTTCCACCTGGCTAAAGTGTTCCTGGGCTGCAGAAACTGCAAGGAGGCTAGTTGTCACTAGGGAGAGGAAACTGGGCATTGCTATGTGATGTCATTACCCAGATGGAGGGAACGGCACTTAGCATATATTAGCCTTTTATATAGACAGATGCCTTCAAAATTATTCTTGAAAATGAAATAAACATAGAATATAAAATTAAGAAATGCTACCTACTGATCCTTCGTTTTTCTCTGATTCCTATTTTTACATCCTGCCCCATCTTTGTTCTCCCTTTTTTCATCTGTTTAATTATTTACCTTCTTAGGTTTCTTATCTTGATTCTTCATTTTGTACTGTTTCTCTGGCATTTCTTGTTTTTCTACATTTGCTTTGCATGCCTCATGCTCTTAATCTATTGGCCATTTCCCTTAAAACAGACTCTTCTGGTTCTTCTGGGTTCAGTGCTCCCGAGAGACCCAGCTGGTAGATTTATATCAGCGTTAAAGTCGCTCCATGCTCACGTGGAGGTCAGGAATGTGAAAGGCCACCCTGCCTGTGCCACGGGCCCATTAGAGCCAGAGGTTTGGGAGTTTAGGGATATTTTTAGTAGCTTTTCTTGAAGAACTGACTTTAGAAAAGCCTGGAATGAAAGGGTCAGCTAAGAAAAAGGCATTTTGGGATAGTAGGACAACTTATTTTTCTTACACATTGAATCATGTTTCCAAAGGGAGGATGGTGTTTTGATTACGGACTTATTATTCTAAATGTCTGCCACATCCACCAACATGAAGTTTCCAAATTATAAAGATACTCAGAGAGCACAGTCAAAACAGAAGCATTTTTATGACCAGCTTTGGCTTTAGCCCCAAACCTCAGGGTGGAATGTTAGTTCTGTGAGGTGGGCTCGCTTACTATGGTGCTGTTTCTGTCAGTGGTAAAAATGTACTCACGGCTGAACATTTAATGGTAAAAGGAACACTAAGGAAATTATGATAGAGCAGTGAGAAGGTTACTGTGTAGTTGCCTGTGAAAATTTTGAAATAATAGGCAAGGCATTCTTTCAGTAAATATTTAGTGAATACCTACTATATGTCAGGTACTATTCTATATGCTAGGATTTCAATGGAGGGAGAACAAGGCAGACAAGGTCTTAGTTCTCTTGGAGCTGACGTTCAGCTGAAGGGAGTGTGGATAAGGGTATGTGGAACATGGCACAACTATGTAACACTGGGAAGACCATGGCTGGTACTATGGGTATTGTTTCTTTTCTTTTTCTAGACTTTCTGAAATATGACGTACTTTTGTCATTACATTTTATTTATGGCAGGCAAAAATACAAGTTTTAGGATCTTACTCATTTCCATCATCATGGTATATACTAAGTAATACTGCTTTAAGAGTTGTATGATTTCTGATACATATGGTATGTGTTGGTAAAACTAGGAAATAGAAACAATATAACCTTATATTAAGACATAGTAGTGCATTATTAGAAAATAGTGCATAATGGGAAATAATGTAGTATGATTTCCTTTATTGGAAAATTCCTTAACCCCCAGAAATATTGTTCTCTGTCTCATTCTAAGAGGAACACATGTTTCAAAGTCCCGGGTTCTTTTTCTAAGAGTGGTTGTCTCCATTTTAGGTGAAATGACAATGAAAAGCTACATTGTGCTGAAGCCGGTTTAGCTCAGTGGTAGAGCGTCGGTCTGCGGACTGAAAGGTCCCAGGTTCGATTCTGGTCAAGGGCATGTACATTGGTTGCGGGCACATCCAATAGGGGGTGTGCAGGAAGCAGCTGGTCAATGTTTCTCTCTCATCGACATTTCTAGCTCTCTCTCTCCTTTCCTCTCTGTAAAAAAATCAATAAAATATATTTAAAAAAAAAAGAAAAGCTACATTGTGTCAGAAATATCTATATAAATGCACCTACTATCAAGTTCTATTAAAAGAGAACATTTTAAATATAGGAATTCTATACGTTAATGTTTGCTGCTTTATGTGGTTTGAATAATTTTCATGGATTATAATTCTCAGCTATTTTGTTATATTTTTCTTTAGTTTTTTTTGTTTAAATGATGTCTATTTTATTATAATAAAGATATGTCATAAAAAGCTTGAACAGTGTAAAGTACCCCCCCCCAAAAGAAATTAATTTCCCTAGATGTAAACACTGTCGGCATTGTAAATTCACCACATATTTTTCAGTGCATATGCAAACATACATCGAAATCTTTTTATTTTTTCACCCAATGTAATCATGCTGTTGGAGTCCATTTTGAAGGTTTAAAATAGAGTAGCTTAGCCAATTACTCTGTGTTACTGTTCACTGATGTGGACTAAGATGGTGGGTAATTCTTTTTCCTTTCCCTCTTTAGAAAGCGTGGACAGAGGCGAACCCCCTCCAACACTGTCCTCACCGTCGCCCTCCTCCCCTTCGCCCACGCTGCGCCCACAGAGGCCGGAGATCGGCGCGTTCCCCAGAGAGAAGAAAACCAGTGACATCTACTTTGTGGTCCTCGTCTGGGCCATCATCGCCGTCCAGCTCTGGTTGAACCTGTGGATCGTGCAGCTGCTGCCAGTGCCGATTGCAGGTGACCGTTAACCAACATCTTATCATTGAAATTGTTTTCCTTTTCCTTTCGGATTTTAATACTTGGGATCATTTTACTCTCTTTTTAAATTAAATGACCATATTTCTGCATTTAAATAAGCATTTAAATTTGGCAACAGCAACTGTTTGGAAATTTGCTCCTTGATTTCTCTTTAATATTTCTCCTTTCTGTGGAGGAGAATGTTAGCAATCTGGGTTTAGGGGTTTAGGAGTGAATTTTGAGAGCTGCTCTTGGTGAAGTGCATTTTACATTGCATTTTTAATTCAATGGAAATGTGGGTTATGAGAACTGTAATGTATGCAAAATCGTGATTTGTTTTTATTTGACAGAAAATTAAGTTCTTTGTACATATGTCATACTTTTTTTTTTTAAATCAAAATTGAGTCAGACAGCTTTTCATAAATCATTAAGCTAGGTCTTTGTTCCTGAATACCATGATTAAAAGATACCTTTAGAGAGAACAACATAATAGAGGTGGGCCTTAAATTACCATGGTATTCAGGAACAAAGACCTAGCTTAATGATTTATGAAAGCCATATGATTCTATCCTATCTAATAAAGACAGAATATGCTAATTGACCATAACACTATCACAAAGATTGTGGCACCCATAGCCACAAGATGGGGGTGTCCAGTTCTCTCAGCCCCACCGGAGTCCCCCAGCTCTTTCAGCCCCACCTGGGGGGGGGTGTGTGGCAGGCACGCGGACCTACCTGCTGAGGGTGGGTGTATCGGGTCCCAACCTCAGCCCCCCTGCTGCCACTGCCAGCAGGCAAGCCTCAGATGTCACCTGCTCAGCCGACATCGGGGCACAGGCAACCTTAAAATAGAGTAGCTTAGCGGTGGGCCTGAGGCTCAGGCAAGCCTCAGATGGCAGTTTCCCAGCCACCTGGGCTGCCCGAGGCTCAGGTAACTAGGACCCGTCGATGCTTGCGCTGCCGGCAGTGGCAGCAGCAGAGATGTGATGGGGCATCATCACCTTCCCCTGATCGCCGAGTCGCCTCCTGCCCCTGAGGACTCCTGGGCCGTGAGAGGGGGTAGGCTGGGCTAAGGGGACCCCCTTCTAGTGCATGAATTTTCATGCACCAGGCCTCTAGTTTTGATATAATACATGTGCTTTATGTGTACATAGAATTTAATTTTTTTGTCAAGCAAAAAATAGAGCCTTCTAGTCCCACCACCCTCTTAGTTGGCCTTTACACGAAGCTTTACCCCTGATTGAAGGGCGCTGCATTGCCTAACAGCAGAGGGCACATTCATATTGTGTCTGGGAACGGTCCCGCTGAAGGTGTGCAATGCCCAGCCTCAGGCCATTTGTAACAGCCCTCTTGTACCCAGCCTGCTTCTCTTCTGAATCCTGGTAAAAGATTCAGATGTACAGCACAACATCACTTAAAGAATTAGGAACATAAATGAAGACGTTACCTGAAGTGGTATAAAATCATGATGCGGGAGGTGGAATACCTTTACTTTTCTGGTCACTAAACACAAAAAATCGAAGGAAAAGAACAAAATTTGGCAACAGCAACTGTAGTAGCCAAGGAGATTAGAACATGTCGGAGGTTAGTATTCTTTACCCACGAAGGGATATGGTATGAGGGGTGTAGGTCGTAGTCGCCGGTATCTTCATGATCAAAACAGGCTGTAAAAGAATCCCTGGCTCCTCAGGGATTCATTCTCCACAAAGAAGGTGTTATGTGCGGGAGCAAGCGGGAATTGTGTGACAGGTTGCTTGTCCCAATACCACCAATTTGGAATACCTTGAACTTTTTCCCTCCTCTCCTTTTTTAAATCTTGACTTAAATACTAGCTTTACTGTTTTAAAAAGGTCACATGAAACTTAAGGGATCTTTCCCTGTTATAACCTTGTAGTCTGCCTTTTGTTCATGAATGTATTTCTTATCCTTTTTATAGTCTGGATCCTCAAAAAGCTGGTCATTCACTTTGGCGTCGTGGACTTCCTAGCGAAGCGCTGCTCCCTGTGGTGGCGGGCCGTGGAGCGCTTCCTGAAGGACCGGCAGGAGGCGCTGGCGCCCTGGCCCATTGTCGGACTCGGGAAATTCTTGTTAAAAGTTGATAGCAAGGTAACGTAGTTTGAGAACTTGGGCTGTTTTAGTGGAATTTATCTATTTCATTGTCTGAAATATCCCATTGTATGGTATTTGGTGTTTATACTGGAATTGAAATCAAATTCTGTGGTGGAATTTAAAGTTTAGAATTATGGTTTATACAAGGATAGGCTATCAAGGACCAAATTGAAATCCAGAGAGGTAAGTGACTTGCCTAAAAATTATAGCCAGGTAGTGGCTCAGTTTGGTGAATATTTTTGGAATAATTCCCATGTGTCAGACATTGTGCTAAGTTCTTGGGGGCGGAAAAAAACAAACAGATGAATCAACAGAAAACTAGATGGGGAATTTCTGTGTAAGGAGAGACAGCCGTCCATTAAAATTTAGAGACAGTGGTTAGATTCAGGTTTAGTGGTTAAGAGTCCAAGTTCTGGTTTCAGATCCAAGTTCAGCTACTTATTAGCTGTGTGGCCTTGGATGAGTTTCTTAACCTTTCTGTGCCTTTGTTTTCCTATCAGTACACTGAGTGTGCGGGCACATAGCTCATAGAGTAGTTTGTGAGTACCAAATGAGTTAATACCTGTGCAGTTCCCAGATTAGAGCTTGCACACAGTAACCTCTATGCAAGTGATAGTAGTTCTGATTTGTGGAGGAAAAGTTCTAGTGTGTACAAGATGTAGTGATAGTTCTCAGCAAAAAAAGTGACTCGGTGTGGTTGAGGTAACGGGAGAGGGGCAGTTTTGCAGAGGAGGTGATGCCAGGGCGAATTCTGAAGCACAAGTAGGAGTAGACATGGCAAGGACAGTGTAAAAGCAGGGATTTCCACAGCATGAATGTGTAGGGTATGCCAAGAAACTGGTCATGGCTGGGCTTTGTGAACAGTGCTTAGTGGGAGGTAAGCCTGGAGGGTCAGATGGGACTGGATCGAGAAGGTCTTTTTGTGTGCCGTGCTGTGCGAGCTGGACTCTTACCACAGAAGCTAGTAGCTATTTCCTTAAGCAGGTATATTCATGACTTAGGTTGAGAAATGCTGTCAGGTGAAACCGGAGTAGCTATTGGTAAGAATAATATCAAGTGTGTGAAGGGAGAGGAAGTAAATCTTTTAATGCTTATTGAAATATCCAGGGTCAAAGGAGAAGCAGGGGATACATTTTCTCGCATATTGCCTGGCTGCCTTCCACCTGTATTTCCTTGAGCCCTTGCCAAGGAATATTATAGTGCAACAAAAAGGCCTTTTCGTTTCATAAAAAGTATCTCACTATTGTTATAATTTGAAATTTTAAAAATTAAAAATGAGGCTGACCGTCCTTTTACATGCTTACTGGATATTTATATTTTTCTTTTGAAATTTGCCTATTTGTATTGTTACTAATTTTTTTCAACTTTTTAAGTAAGAACGAGTCTAAGACTTTGCATACATGTCAGCATATTTATCACATCTCCCTTGTATTAGGGAGAAGCTTTATCTTACGAGAACAGATTCAGCACATCAAACTCTTTAAAGATGGTATCTTATTTTCAGTTAATGCTTTGTCTTTCCACTGTCAGGATAGAGATTAAACCCTGTTTTCAGCGTTTTCATGTACTTGTATTTGGACCCTTCATTTAGGAAAACTGTACAGTTGTGTCAGTTGAAGTTCCAGGAATCTGAAAGTATTTGTTAGGGATGGCCTTGTAAAAATTTGTCATTTTTGTTCTAACTTGTTTGCCACTCTATTGTTCTTAAGGAACAGAGACAGTAAAATGAATAAAACTGACTTTTTCTGCTGTATAACAATCAGAATAAATGGCTATTGCACACTGAATATTTGTTTAATTATAGTTGATGCCAAATTTATGTTCTGTCTAGTATAATAATATGTATGGGCTGTTGCTTTAGGGAGTACATCTGTTTTTCATGTTTCTATTAAATTTTAATTGATTAGACCAGTGTTTCTGAAATGATTCACCTACAGAGGATTGTTTGAAGAATACCTAGACGTGCTTTGGGTATACTTTAAGGAAAAGGCTGCAAAGAGCATTCACAGTCACTGATGAAATTACACTTTTTATTAGCATTTATACTTCTGACAGCACTAATGCTCTAAATTCTGTGTTTATCGATTTTTAGGTTATGTGTCCACTAACTAGCATTAGTAAATATAGTGCTAAATATTGTGGGGTTTGGATTTGGGCGGGGGGGGCCCAAGATAATACTTTCGCTTTTTTGTAGAAAAATATGTGCCTAAGAAATTGGGGTGGAAGGAAATATACCATATAGTAACAGAATCTTAGTATGGCCTGCTTTTAGCCCGGTGTCCTCTATTCCAAATGCGCACTAGAATGTTTTTACTCTTTAAAAAATGTGAAATAACTAATACTATAAAGCTGCAACTACAGAGTTCAATGAAAACGTACTATGGGAACCTAAATTGGTTTATACAGGGACTGAAAATCCTTCTGGGGCGTGATATGCGAAAGGATCTTAATTATTACTCTCATCTATTTAAGACTACAAGCTTTCAGGTTATTTTATGTATTTTTAAAATATATATATTTTATTAATTTTTTTCAGAGAGGAAGAGAGAGGAAGAGTTAGAAACATCGATGAGAGAGAATCATCGATCAGCTGCCTCTTGCACACCCCTTACTGGGGATGTGCCCGCCGCAACCAAGGTACATGCCCTTGAGCAGAATCGAACCCGGGACCCTTCAGTCCACAGGCCGAGGCTCTATCCACTGACCCAAAGGGGTTTTGACTATTTTATGTATTTTTAATTGTTGAATTGCCAGCAAAGCTTGTGGTTATCATCATCACTATAATCATTGTATATCTTAAAGGAATACTACATTTACTCGATCTATATCTTTACAATTCAGAGCAGTTTTTTCCCCCTCTAGTTTTTCTTTTGTTTGGGATAATTTCCTCCTCATGCTCCCAGTGACTTTCTTTTCTTTTCATGCTGTTACTGCATTCTCTAATGATATTCCACTGTTCTTCTCTTCTCTCTCTCACTTTCCTCCCCATCCCCAAGCTCTGGCACTGGCTAAATAAGAAGGTAAATGAACACACGGATGTTGGTTTTTGCTGTTCGGTGCTGTAACTTCTCTCTGTATCTCTGTTCTCACTCCTTCTGTCTGTATGTCAAACTAAGTTTTTGTTATTAAAGTTCTTATGATAAGCTATGGAAGGTCATGAAGCATTGAAGCCGTCCCAGTACAATTTGCTAAAAACCCAAAGCTATTTTATTCAGGATATTGGTAGTGTCTCCTTGCTCAAGTGTGTGTAAAAAGTTCAGTTGTGTAGTCCTTTTGTCCGCTATGATGGGCTTAGCCTGATACTCCTTTGATGTGTGAGGGCACATAAGCCATAAGTTACTAAAAAGGAAAGAGAATTCTTTGTGGCTAATTTTTTAATAAGTGACATAGGAAGATTTCAGAAGATAAATCTGTGAAGTATTTATGTAATTCCCTAGATTGGTAATTTTATGTATTGACTAGTATTCCAAAATTTTATATTTAACTTAAAAAAGATGATAGTCATGTTCTGTGAAGTCTAATTTCTTTTTTTATATATTTTAATATATTTTATTGATTTTTTTAAAGAGAGGAAGAGAGAGAGATAGAGAGCTAGAAACATTGATTAGCTGCCTCTTGCACACTCCCTACTGGGAATGTGCCCTCAACCAAGGTACATGCCCTTGACCGGAATTGAACCCGGGACCCTTCAGTCCACAGGCCGATGCTCTATCCACTGAGCCAAACCAGTTTCGGCTGTGAAGTCTTAATTTCATGTTTCCCAAGATACAGTTTGTGTCTGTGGTAAATGGTTTTCATGATTGGCTTGGAATTCTAAAGGTACATTTTACAAAACTTCAATAACTTTAGTAACTCCAGATATATTAGGAGTGCTATACCTCTAACAAAGTCTGTATAAGTAGTTCTAGATTTAATTTCATTCAATACTTAGGACTGGTAACAAAAGGTGACATCATTTACATGTGTTGTGCTTAAACACAGTAAGACTAAAAGTTTTTAGTGGAAATACTGTTACAGTCTTTAAGAAAGATGTGGTACGTGGAAATACGTCCGAATGACACTTCTATGTGTAGAGATTAGGGTTTCAATTTGTTGAAACGGGAAAAGGAAGACTTATGACAGTGCCTAAACTTTGGATAGAAAATAAACAGTGTGAAGTATAAATAGATACACTCCACCACTGCACATGCATCCACATAAATAAACACATACACATGTATGGATGCATATACCTGTTTCCTACAAAACTAGTGTAATTGAGTATAATCCTTGGCAGGTGATAGTGCTGCAAACATACGTCACATTTTCTTACTTTGATGAAAGCAGGTGGTTTAAATGTATTTTCCTAATTTGTATTTGTACAGGGTGTCTCCCCAGAATGTGTATATACTTTAACACCTGGTAGCTCAACTTTGAAAATGAAATATATTTTACCAGACATTGCCTTATAATTATTCAAAGTGTGTATATACATCTTTTGGGGACACCCTATATATTGAAAAGAAAATTTCCTCAAAAGATGAAAGGAGACCTAAAATCATTAGGTTTGTTTGATTTAAAGCTAAATGAGTTAGATTACCTAATTCATGAGCCAAATTACAGCTAATGAGTGATTTTTGTTTTTGTTTTTGTTTTTAAATATATTTTATTGATTTTTTGCAGAGAAGAAGAGAGAGGGACAGAGAGTTAGAAACATCGATGAGAGAATCATCGATCAGCTGCCTCTTGCACACTCCCCACTGGGGATGTGCCCGCAACCAAGGTACATGCCCTTGACCGGAATCGAACCCGGGACCCTTCAGTCCACAGGCCAACGCTCTATCCACTGAGCCAAACCATTTTCGGCTAATGAGTGAGTTTTAAAAGACTCCCAAGAGATTAAGTAGCTTTTGTCTTTTCCTTGCCGATGCCGTGAACCATAGGTAAAGCATGGTGTGGAGCTGGAGCAGCTGCTTGCAGTTCTGAGGGGGTGTGCTCCAGGAAAGCGCTCAAATAAGTTGAAGATCATTTTATCGCATTACATCCAAGGTCAGAAATTGCAGCATTGGGTATTTACTATTCATTCCAAGCTCAAGTGGAGTGAATTAGAAAAATGAGAAGTGAGGGTGAAAGAGAACAAATATTATGGTTAACTAAAATTGCAACTGATTTCTCAAGGCATAATTTAGTTTTTTTTAAAAAAAGCATCATAAAAACCTACATTCATGATAGAATAGCAACTTATGTAGTGGCATGACACTTTTTAATAGCTTGATAAATAAGGCCAGTGAGGTTAGAAATTTGAGTGTCTTTGAATATAACTATACATTCACCAATATCTCTAAATTTTTGCACTTGAAACACCCAGAATGTCACTTAAAATTTTTTTTCCTCTTCCCCTTTTAGGAAATAAAGTTTAACAACTAAAATGATTTCTCAAAGCCTAGAAGACGGGAAAAATTCTAGGGACTGTGATTTCCGTGAGCAAGGCAGTGGTGACAGATGGTGTGGTTTCCTTTGCCCAAAGTAGGCACGGGCAGCTCAGCCTCATGGGACACACCTCTGGCATTCCTTCAGGCTCCCCCACCTTCCCTTCTCCACGGCTTCCTCCGTGTGTTTCTCTTTCTGTGTCTGAGTTTCTGTTTCCTTCTGAGTCTTGTTCCGTTTACTCTTTGAGGGCATTCTTTTCCTCCATATACCTTTTGTATTCATTTTGTTTATTTTTTCTCCTCTTTTGGGCTTTTGTTCTATATACCAATTCCCTCTCCACATTTATTTCTTCTTTTTCTTGACTTTTCTTTCTGTCGTTATTCTTTTTTATTTTTTTTTAATCCTCTCCTGAGTATATGTTTCTTGTTTCTTTGATTGATTTGAGAGAGAGAGAAGTGTGTGTGTGTGTATGTGTGTGTGTATTTGTGTGTGTGTGTGTGTGTGAGAGAGAGAGAGAGAGAGAGAGAGAGAGAGAGAGAGAGAGAGAGAGAGAGAGGAAGAGGGAGAGAGAGAGGGAGAGGGAGAGGGAGAGAGGTGTGTGTGTATGTGAGAGACAGAAATAAGAGAAACATCAATTGGTTGCCTTTCATATGTGCCCGGTCTGGAATCAGACCCAAAATCTTTTGGTGTTTCGGACAACACTTCAACCTACTGAGCCACCTGGTCAGAACTTCTCTTTCTCTTTTGCTGTATCTTTTCATCCTGTGTTTTGGTTTGTTTTTAAATCTAATCTTAACCACCCATAATGTGAATAGAAGCTCCTCCAACTTTTTTTAACTTATGAATTGAGCTTCATAAATGATTTTATTTTAAATTTTGAATGAAACGGATAATCCTTACTGTTATCCCTTGAATATAAATTTTTATTTAGGTAACTCTTAGTGTGGATTTCTTTCAACCCTTAGTTCTACAGCTTGTGATAAGAAAATTCTACCCTGGTTGAAAAATACAACATTTAATATTGCATTGTTGATGTACATAATGTGTTTGGAATATTCCATGTTTTATATGTTAAAAATACCCAGACATAAATTTATTTACTTACTTATCTTAATATATTTTTATTGATTTCATAGAGCAAGGGAAAGGGAGAGAGAGATAGAAACATCAGTGATGAGAGAGAATTATTGATGGGCTGCTTCCTGTACATCCCCTACTGGCGATCGAGCCCGCAACCCAGGCATGTGCCCTTGACCGGAATCGAACCTAGGACCCTCCACTCCACAGGCTGATGCTCTATCTACTGAACCAGACCAATTAGGGCTAAATTTAGATATTTATACTTTGTAAATAGAGCATCATTTATGTTTAAAAATACATTTTAGGATACGACTTTTCCTAAAAAAAAAATAAAAAAAAATGGAGGCTCTCGAGTTACTTTTAGAAATTATAATTTGTGAATACAAATCTGGTCTTATTTCTGAAATTATTTTTATTTATGCTTGCCTCTGTAGGTATATATTAACTGAGCACTGTTAGGTTTTGGGGAACAAAGAGGAGTAATACAACACTAGCCCTTATTCAGGAAGTTGTCTCAAGAACTATGTGTAGAGTTGGTTTCTGATTATGAAACTTCCATTTCATTGATTTTAGAACTTACATTCAAAATATGACATTGACCTTCCATATCTTAGAAACCTATTGTTATTTTTTTTAATCTCTGCATTGTCTTCCATGTTTTGGTGGCATGCACTGAAAACTAACTCTTCTGTTTGAAGCTGTAATAGTGGAGATAGAAGATGAACTTTTTATCTTGGAGTTTATTGTAGCATTGATCTCTTGGTGACAGGATCCTTCATGAAAGATAAGGGAATGCAAGCTTGTGAGCCTTGAGTGGACATTAATTTTTTAGAAGTTATGTTATTTTGTATTGTTTTTAATAACCATTCTTTGCTTTTGGATGTTTAACTCACTGTTTGGAGAGCATATTTCAGATTTAAGTGAAGAATAACTTAATCAGCATCTTTGTAGTTCATGTTAGAGTTGAGGGTTGCAATGTAGTGTTTCAGCAGTCAGCAGTCTAATTGATTGGATTTTTGAAATGTTAAATACTGGCTTAGCATGGTCAGAATCCTACACATTTATCAGAATGATATATTCTGAAAATAATAATTTTTATATGTAGGATTATTTGTGATCGTGGAAAATGAGAGAAGTTAAATTCAAAATAGAATGTCAAATAACATTGAGGTAGAGCATAATTTTAATTATTGATTTAGGAATAACCACTACATTAATGGTTATTTTCTACTTGCAGTCAGTTATAACTTGTCACAAAGCTTATGCTTTAAAAAAAGAAATTTCCAGTAGAATACAATAAGTATTTTAAATAGTAAAAGATGTAAAGAATTCTCATATGACTATCCTCCAACTTCATAAAACATTACTTATATAATTGAAGCCCATTTTGTATCCCTCCCTGACCCTTTCCCCACCCAGAGTAACTATTATTCTGAGATTGGTATTTATCATTACCGTAACATTTTATTACTGATTTTGTAATCTTAATGACATCAAAAGGAAAACATATATTGAAAGTAATTACTATTTTAATTTGTTCCTAATTTATCTATATATAATCTAGGACCTATTTTTATAAAAATCACACTTTTTATAAAGTCATCTGTATTTGCTAATTGACAGTAAAATTTCAAAAGGTTTGAGGTCAGCTAATTCTCATTATTTTCTATAGAAATATTTACCAGATTATCCTGTATAATAAAAGGCTAATATGCAAATTGTCCCCTCAACCAGAAGTTCAACTGGGAGTTTGATCAGGAGGCAGGGTGGGCCAGCCAACCGCCCTCGGCCTCTTCGCCCACCCTGCCCAGCCCAATTGGCCCTGACCAGTGCAGGCTGGCTGGATCCCAACTGTGCACAAATTCGTGCACCAGGCCTCTAGTAAATTATAATTTGAAATGTAACATACTATAATATAACATATAACATAAATGTAAATTACCATAATATGATTATGTCCCTGTTGACTGCTTTTTCTTAGATGTGACAATAAAAAGCTCTTTATATAACAGCAGTAATTAATACCTAATTTTATAAATTTGCTTACAGTTGTCAGTGCTTTAGTCATTATTCCATAGTTTGCTTTGCATTGTTGAATATCCTATTTTGTCTTCATTATATTTGAATGCATATGTGTTTTATTAAGTTGTATTTTACAGCTAAGTAATCCTCTCTTTTATTTCTGTGCAGATAATCATCTGGCTGGAGAAGATGTTAGACAAAATAATTAGCATTTTCATCATATTTTTGCTAGTAATAGGAACCCTTCTTTTAGCCCTACTCCTGACTGCAAAGGTAGAGTACAATAATTACTATTACCACTAGTAAACCCTTAATTGTTAGAAGTGTAGTATGGCTAAGAAGCTGACAGACAGTATGGAAAATGTCATTTTGCTTATAAATATGTATAAGTGCTATAACTTAATTTTTGTATTACTAGTTTTGCCATGAATTTACCTAATATATTTTTACATGCACCATTATTTTATTATCATCAAAATCCTCAGATGTAAATACAGATACAAAAATTGAGATACAGAGGAACAAGTGGCTTCTTCTGTCAATAGGAAAACTATAATCTAGTCTTATGACTCCTAATCTAGTTAATACCCTGTTCACTAGATCAGAGTTTTTTTTTTACTAACTCCTTCCTTCTTATCTCATTGGTCTGTCTGCTGATATAGCATAGGGCCTTTATTTCTCACTCTCCAGGTTCTTCCAGCTTACATTTCCTCTCCCATCTTCGCTCAGACTGCTATAACAGAATGCCATAGACTAGGTGGCTCGAACAACAAGGGTTTCTCACAGTTGTAGAGGCGAAAGCTCCAGACCAGGTGCCAGTGTGGTTGAGTTGTTGGTGAAGAGGGCGCCCTCTTCCGGGTCCACAGATGGATATTCTTTTGTATCTTTATATGGCAGAGAGAACTGTTACCTGTCTCCTGTACTGTTTAAGGGCACTAACCCCATTCATGAAGGGTCCACCCTCATGACCTAATTACTTCCCAGTGGCCCCATCTCTTAACCATCAAAATGGAGGTTAGGATTTCAGCAAATGAATTTTGGGGAATGCAGACATTTAGTTCTTAACACTCCTCTTCCATCTCAGCAAAGAATTATCATTGTCCCAACTAAATGGTATCTATAAGAGATACATTTTAAATTAAAGGCATTAAAAGATATGATAGTAAAAGGATTTTTAAAAAGATATATCATGAGAACTATAAACATGATAAATCTAGTATGATTATATTAATATCAAACAAAACAAATATTACTATACACAAATAATGATAAAAGAGTTAGTACTACAGTAAGATACAGTAATTATGAATTTGTATATTATAGCAATAGCTCTAAAATACATGAAGCAAAATATTCAGAATTAGAAGAAGAAATGGACAAATCAAAGATTATAGATAGGTTGACTAATCCTCCTCTTGCAACAATTGGGAGAATAAATAGATAGAAACAAGCCTTGAAAAACAGTCAGTATGACCTGTCAGTAGCAGAATCCTGTTCTTTTCAAGTAAATATAGAATACTCACTAGGATAAACCATATGCTCAACATGCTAATTTAAACAAAGTAAAATCATACAGAGCCTGTTTCCTGACATTGGCTTGCTCCTTTTTTAATCCCTCATTTTGCTGATTATTGGGCAAGGTAAATTTGGAGTAGTTTCAGTTTGTTTGTTTTTATTACTCAGAAACCTTACTCAATTGCTAATATTTGTTTGTGTACTTGCCTGTAAGCTCATTTAGTGTTGATACTGCATATATATACATATGTACATACAGACACATTCGTATTATATGTCTATACACATATACTACACACGTGAACTATATATTATTGTGTATATGTGTATTTGTATGTATCTATTTACATATTTTTTGCTTAAGTAAATTGTTGAGCTTCTTGAAGGCAGGGACCTATTATGTACATTTTATTTTCCATAGTTTGTGTGATAGAATATTATATATGCAGCTGTTCAATGCATCTTTCTAAATTAACTGCAACTAAGATGTATAATTATTTGACTCTAAAATATTGCTCCAATAATAATTGGGAGAATAAATAGATAGAAAACTAAAAAAATAAATGTAGAAGAATAAATGTTTAGTTGGGTTTACTTTTTATTGATATTCTTTTTATCTCATTTGTGATGCAGGTACATCAAGAGAGTGTGCACATGATTGAAGTCACAAGCAGTTTGATTAATGAAACTCTAGCAAATCACCCTGAGTGGGCAAAGTAAGAATATTGTTTTACAAAAACAAAAATGGAGTTGGATGACCTAGGTTCAGTATCTGTTTGCATGAACTGGTCTTCATTGCTGCACTGCCTTGGAAGAGAAAAAATAGGGTTTGCTAAAGCTTTGATGAAATTGACATTTTTGCAAAAGAATTGCAAGCATGTAATCTGGGAGAGGGATTGATGGGAAAGTGCTTAAGATTTTGGAAACCATTTATAGTAAATGATACCTTATATTTGAATTGAGAGTTACACTTCATAGCATGTTAATAATTTACAAGGTACTTTCACCTGCTTTGGGACCTATCTTCCTCAAGTGACTGTGCAGTAGGTTGAAAAGATTATATCCATTTTACATATGAGGAAATAAGATAGAAGGTTAAGGAATTTGAAGTTATAAACAACTGCAGAGTCAGCCCTCAAATCCAGTGTTTCTGATCAAGTACCATTCCATGTAGGAGAGTTTTAAAAAGCTGTTTCATGAAAGGTCTGATTCTTTTGAAGCAAATAAGTGAGGATGAATATACATTAATAGTAATGGCTTCTCGCACATCTCAGTATTCAGTAGATTCCTGTCCTGATGAAGGCAGTTGACCTTGTGAGAAATTCTGTGGATATTTCTAGAGGGGATACAGTTAATATTTCATCTGATTAGTTTCTTCCAATATGGAGCACATTTATAAGTCCTGTGTAGATGCCCTGATTTCCTGTGAATGTGTTTGGTGAGCTGGTGGATAAATTACAAGATTTAGGGTAGGGTCACCTTAGCAGAGCTTCAAAGAAAATGCAGTCAGAGCACATCTTAATTCTTGTCTTGGACAATTCTATTAGTCTGGAACCCACTTTCTACCAACTAGAAAGAGATTATATCCATTTTACAGATGAGGAAATAGGATCGAAGGTTAAGGAATTTGAAATTATAATCTACATATTAAAACTTAAGGAGCCACATGGTATGTTAAAATGTTTCCTTTACTGGGGCTGTTCTCTTGGAAGTTTATATTGTGAAATAGATTAACTATTATCCAGAACGATGAGGGCAGGCCAGTCCAAAATGTAAGAAGATGGTTTCCACTAAGAGTAGAATTAGTGATTGACTGAGGTAGTGACTATCCTACTGAAGGAGGTTGTGGTTGGTGTATAATACCATCAGGGCCCATCCCAGTTGGTCCCAAGGTTGCTCTGTGTTTGTGGCCCATGTAGTGTTGATACTGCATATACTGTGTGTGTGTGTGTGTGTGTGTGTGTGTGTGTGTGTGTGTGTGTGTATGTGTATGTATACATACAGACATATAGGTCTTTGACTTGGCCTCAGGACAGCTCCTCTTACCTGCTGCTATAATGACACCTGTTGTGAGTACGTTGGTGAAGAGTTTTCACTGAAACCAGCAAGACTTGTTATCAGGCCTAATGGACCTGTTTGTTAGTCATTAAGGATCTATTTGGATGTCTCTATGGATCCTCACACATTATATCCTATATTTATAGGATATAATCTATAATAATAAAAGCGTAATATGCTAATTAGATCACATGTCCTTCCAGACGACCTTTTGGACAAAGCCAGGGCTGCGAGGGAAGCCCGGGTCCCAGGTGCCAGAGGGAAGTCAGTGCTGGCAGCTACGGGAAAGAAGGCCTACTCTTGCATGAATTTCTGCATCGGGCCTCTAATTTTCTCATAAAAATGTAGTGCCAGATAATTGAAAGTATACAACAGACCCTTCAAACCACTATAAGTCTATAATCCTAGAGTAATTAAAGCTACTTAAATTAATTTCTCCCAAACACATCTCTTTAGAGATTTAAATTTCCTGTTTATATCCTTTTACTGTAAGATTATTATTTTTTAAAGTATCTCTAAAGTTTTATCTTACTTGCTGAGAAGTACTTGAACTGATTGAGAATTTGCAAAAAGCTTCACAAAGATTTTGTTTATTATGTGGAGTGTATGATAAACTCGTTAATACTAAAGATTCAAACCAATTTGTGGATGTCAGCATCTCTAGTACATAACATTGTGAGGAACAGTTAAGAGAATTGTTTAAGTACTCATTGATGTGCTCTAGCCCCAGAGTTCCTTTTTCAGTGGGTCTGAGTTTAGGCTGGGTTTCTAAGCAGTTGTGATGCTGCAGGTCCATGGACCACAGTTTGAAAACCGCCATTGTGCATTCCAGATGTTGGTTATCAGTGTCCCAGAACTACTTCCTCTGGTGCTGTGTGAATAAAGCAGGTGACCCAGGACTGGAGGGACAGAGAAAAACATGGCAGAGCAGAATGAGAGAGAGGTGGTGGGGAACCTGGATGCAAAAGATAAGGAAGGCTTGAAAAGACATTCCGAATATTAGAATTAGGCCAATTGGGCCTGTAAGTCAAGGATTTCTGTGTGTGATTCATTTGTATTTCTGTGTCAATGGCTGTCCAGGAGTTTGTCAGTTTCTGATTGTTTAAATATATCAAGTTCAAAAAGTTATGGGTGCAGTACACTAAAAGTGTGCTAGTTTTTCATTTTCTTTCTTTATTTAAATTAGCTGGCTTCCTGAGGCTCAGGTAGTCCAAAGAGCCCTCAATTCTGCAGCTAACAATGTGTATCAGTATGGACGAGAATGGATAACCCACAAGGTAAGGGAAGAGCCTCTCTTTGTGGACTTCACTTTGCAAGTCCTTTATTGGTAATATCTTGCTTCAATAAAGCATAATTTCCCTTTGCAAATAGGTTTATATCTACAAGTCGACAAACAACATACAGTGAAATTAAAGCTTTTGCATGATCATACTGAATAGTGCTAATAGCCTGAACAAGCTCAGAAGTTGGCCATTTGCTTCTTGTTCAAGATAGATCTGATTCATTATTTGTGCACTAGGGAGGAATGATCACTAAGCTTGGTAGTCAAACGAGGTTCTCAGGGCCAAAGAAGACATAAGGAGTAGCCTGTGAGGTAGGAGGAAACCCAAACTGTCTGTGTCACAGAGGCCGAGAGAAGAAAATGGTTCAAGAAGTACTTTGTCAGCTAAGGCTTCACACAAGATGAGTGCTGACTTGTCATCCCCATTTCCTAGGTGAGGCTCTATGCCTTCAGTCAGTAAGTTTTCAAATGGCATTGTGACCGCCCTTAATGCTTTACTGTTCTTCTCGGGCAAAGAGCATGTCACAAACTCCCCACAGTAGGTGTGCTTTAGTGATCCTTTTAGTAGGCTCTTCGCTCTGGCCCCGTCTTCCCAGTTTTATAACATGCTGTAAAACTGTGCTGAACTCTCCTTTACTGTGATAGCTGTGGTATTTTAGTTATTCCCTGTCATGCCTGGGAGAGAGCCTGCTAAAGGAGATGTCAGTTTGAAATTGTATTTTATTGCAGTAAAGGCCACTGTGCTGACAATCTGGAAAAGGAGCTGTCAGTAACTTACATTATAGAACTCTCCTGGTTCCAGGGAGACTTCACGGGCTAATAGGAAAGTGACAAAAAGAATTAGGAATAGGAAGTCTGTGAGTCTTTGACAGTCACACTATGCAAAAGACAAATTTAAAGAAATGAAAGGAAGTTAGCCTAGGGTAATTGTGGTTTTTAATTATTTGGGGTAATTTGCTTTATTAGGTGTTCTTTGTTCGTAGGTTATATAGGCTTGAGTTGAAAGAATATGAGAGAACTTCTCATCCTGAATCTGCCACTTGTCTGTGTAACTGGGACTGTCATAGATCCTTTCTAAATCTGTTTTCTCAAATGAACACAGATGATGCCAAAACTATTTTCTGACCAACTCATGGAGTTGTTGTAAAGATCTCATAACGTAGGTGAAAGCCATTTGTAAATTGTACAATGTGATGAAACTTTGATATTCACGATTTGTGTTTGAATAAATCAAATATAAAGAACAACATTGGCAGATGTATTTGCATCAAATATGTCTAAGAACTGGTTTAAGCATCTATAAGGCCAGCATCAAGTGGGCGAAAGGTATGAATAGTCCACACTAAAGGAAATACACATTGAAAACCAAAATGGAAAATGGTCGTTCTTGTTACTAAAGAAGAAAAGTATAATCAGTTATTACTTCACACCTTTTAAATTATCTAAAAATCAGTTATCTGTAAGGCTTTGGGAAAATTGGTTCAATCCTTAGAATGTTAGAAAGTGTTAATTGGTACAATCCTTATAGTAGACTATTTAACAATGCATAGCAAGAACCATTAAAAATGCTCATTTCCTTTGATTCTTGCACATTTATCTTACATTAGAAGTAAGAAAAATACTGTGTATAAGGATGTGCAGTGTTACTTGTGACATTAAAAATTGGGAACCATCTATGTGTCCTGTGATTTGGTGATGATTAAGTACTATAAAAATATAAATGAACTAACACGAAACCATTAATAATAAAGTTGAAGGTAGTGATGAAGGCTAAATATGAAAAGCTCATGATGTGAAAGAAAATGCAGCATTCTAAATTATGTCTATGTAAACAGGCAGAAATTTCAAAGAAAATGAAGCAGCTAGTTTTAGTGAGGAAAGTAAGACTACAAATCAGTGTTTGTCCTTTTAAAAGTATCTTTAATGTTACCACATGGTTGTAATAACACACAAAATGTGGGGTAAGATATTATAATAAATGACCTTTCTCTAAGTTATCTCAAGTGTACTTGATTTCCATACATCCTGAAGCCAGTCCTATCAGTCATAACTCTGAGACCCGACATCTCTCAGCAACGGGCATATTTGCGTTTATAGCCTGGGTTCTAAAATGTCACTTCAAGTTCTGTGGCAATTCTTAATAATGTGATAAATGTAACATGAGACTTCAGTATAATGGGTGGGCATTGGGGTCACTTAGAAAGATTTTTCTCTGTGCAGATATGATCAGAGATGTCCGTAGTCATGGCTTTATTTGTACTCTTCTTTTACTGTTTGAAGTTACTCTCCTTGAGACCTAAGGATAGAGGAAAGAAAAAAGAAGCAAAAGATGAAAGGGAGGAAATTTACTGGGAATATTGAGGAGCAAAGTTTATGAAAAGAACATTGTGTGGCTAGAGGCAATTAAATAGTCTGGAACATTTCAGTTTGATTTAGAACAAATGTAAGGACCCAGCAGGTGTTCGTTTTACTGGGTTATTGCCTGGAATATTAAATCAGATTATATCTGTATTTCTTCCAGCTTCATAAAATTCTCGGAGATAAGGTGAACAATACTGCTGTGATTGAAAAGCAGGTACTAGAACTTTGGGACAGATTGTATCATTCTTGGTTTGTAAAGGTAAGTTATTTTAGCTAAGGATTTCAACGGTAAACTAATAAAGTCCTTTTGTAGATCCAATGACTAAGTAGGACTTAAGTAATACTGGAATTTCACTTACTGACATTTTTAAGCTACAGGGTCTTAAACCTTAGGCCCCAAAAAGTCAGAGTGCTTGATGGTTAATCTCCATGGCAGCATCCACCCTTTTGTTATCATCTACAGCATCTCATCATCTAGACCAGCTCTGGGCAGGAGAAATGTAATGCAAGCCTCCTAATGTTAGTTTTTCTAGTGGCCGGGTTAAAAAAACAAAAATAACCAGGTGAAATTATTTATGCATAGCCTTTTCTTTCTTTCTTTTTTTTAAAATATATTTTATTGATTTTCCACAGAGAGGAAGGGCGAGGGATAGAGAGCTAGAAACATCGATGGGAGAGAAACATCGATCAGCTGCCTCTTGCACGCCCCCCACTGGGGACGTGCCTGCAACCAAGGTACATGCCTCTGACCGGAATCAAACCTGGGACCTTTCAGTCCACAGGCTGATGCCAAACCTGTCTCGGCCATGCATAGTCTTTTCAAACCTAGTTATTCCTGCCAATGCAATTCTCTTCCAGATAAACAAGTTAGACTTCCCTCGCTTCTTTTTCATATTCATTTCCTCCCCGCTTTATTGATACATAATTGATACTTAACATTGTATTAGTTATCTTTTTCATATTCTTTCTCTCCCCTCTGGTCTCTTTATCTTGAAAAGAAGATTAATAAGGGAGATGAGAAAAGGAGGAAGAAAGCAAAAATGAGAGAGCAAAAAAAATGGCAGAAGGATTTAAAAGGAAAGAAATAATAAAAGTAAATGCTGTGTTTGTCTACAGTAGAATATACACTGAGGAATAAAGTGTGTCCAAAAATGTACTGAGGAGAGAAGCACTGAAGCTAGGCTGAGACGCAGTAACTAGCATATTAACAGAAAAATACTATCTCTTAGGTCTTGATGGCATTCTTAATTGATTTCTCAAATAATGCAGTTTTTCACTTTTGTGTATTTGCTAAAGTGCTAAGTGGACCTAAAAAGAGGTTATTTATACTTTCTGATCTTTAGGTTAAGTTGGAGACTTAATGTCTGAACTGTTTTTTCCCGTAGAACGTAACGCACTCTGGAAGGCACAAAGGACACAAGATGCAGATAAGCCGTCAGAACAGCTGGCTGGGAGACATTCTGGACTGGCAGGATATCGCGTCCTTCGTCCATGAGAACATCGAGACGTTTCTTTCTGTAAGAAATAATATTTATAGTTAAACTGGACTTAGAAGTAAAAACAGAAGCACTCACTTTCAGTCTTCTTTACCCACTAAAAGGACTTTACTTACCCTGTTTTTAATGCCACAATATTTGACATTCTGAAAATTCTAAATGCACTACAAAGATGTCCCAAACCTGTAGACCTGCCTGCAGAGTAACCAAGAGATGCTAAACCAGGGAGCATATGCATGTTGCTGCGGCTCTCAGATTCTGAGCTAGGGATCCTTGTCCCCAGAGGCTGCCCAGAATGGCCCCAGCTGGACCACTACAGGGGGAGCTGCCTTTCTGGTGGACAAAGCCCTTTTGGCAAATGGATATATGGTTTTCTCCCCCATGCACCATCCACCTCTGCCTTTTTTTTTTTTTTTTTTTTTTTTTTTTTTTACGAAGGTTAGAGGGTGGCAAGGAACAGCTAGCAGTGCTGTGAAGTTTCAGTGACTGCTCTTCATTCTGTAGTATACTTTGTGGGGAGTCTGCCTGTGGCTTTTCACAGAGATGAGAAAAAAGTTCCTGTGAAAACACTTGCGCCAAGTTAACAAAAATCAATGTTTACAATGCTAGATTTTTTCAATTTAATTTTTATCCAAATAATAGATGACCATAGTTGAAAAGCCAAAAATGCTCTAAGATTTATTTATTTATTTTAACTGCTTTTAAGATTTTTAAGTGGGGGAAAAAATAGCAATTTTTTTGTGCTTCTCCACTTCCGTCTCATTATCCAGAAACAATTGTCAGTTCCTTTATTCTGTTTTATTTTATCACTTTATTTTTAAAATGTACTTATTGAATTTATTGGGGTGACATTAATTGATAAAATTACATAGCGTTCAAGTGTATTATTCTAGAATACATCATCTATATATTGTTCTGTGTGTTGTGTTCACCACCCCAAGTTTAGTTTTTTATAGGTGTTTACCTCTGAATTTCTAAAATACTGTTTACGCTGCTCTTTCTTGGTTTTGCAATTTTAGATACTATCTTTTGACTTTCCAATATGGAAGATGCAGGTAAAGATGTGGCTTTCTTGCGAGTCCCTTGGTGCTCTCCTCCTCCTCCTCTGGGGTTTTCGTACAACTCCTTTGGCTTCTACCCTCCTTCCTGCACTCACACTTTCCCTTCCTCCCATTCACCTAATAGAACTATCACAGTTTGAAATTGTATCTGTCTCTTTCTGCCATCATAGTTTGCCCAACAGCTCTTCCTTATATTCTAAATCTTATTTCCCAATCCTCTTGAGTACACAGAGAGGTTATTTGATCTTGGCAACTACCAGTCTACAATTAATGAATTCAGTTAATATCTTAAGAATTACCACAGGGCATTTCCTAGCATTGTGACCTAGAAACTATTCAAAACTTTTTTTTTTTTTTTTTTTTTTTGATAAAAATTCCAGAATGACTGAGTCCCCCAAAAGAATGCCTGTCAAAATCACAAGCAAGGGCATTGTTGGTTTGTCTCTGGAATCAGTGCCATTATTCATTCATCCCTTTATCCCGCAGGGTCAAACAGTCAATCATGCATATTTTTGTAGGCACTGTGAAACATTTTCAAGATTTTATGTAAGGAGTTTTTGTAAATCAGACCAGCATGCCAGAGATCTCTTATGAAGACAGAGCTGAGGTTTGCAGGAAATGCAGAGGACAACAAAATGTGCTTTAATAAATGGTACATTTGAGGTAGGAAAGGAAGGGGTAGCCTTTCACAGCACAGATGGTGTAACTTGAACATAGGACAAAAAACAGAGCTGCCGTTTTGGAAAGGGTAGGCACCAAAATAAAATCAGACATTTTGAGTTCTAGTTCCACATATTAGCTCTCTGCCCCTTGGGCAAGTTTTTTAAAAACTCTGGGCTTCAGTTTGCCTATAAAATAAAGATGGTGTCACCTGCATTTCTTCCCTTACAGTGTTGTGAGGTTTATGGGATGAAAACTAAGGTTGTTTAAAAATTTTTTTTACGTTTTTCTGGTCATTTTGCTTCCATAATTTATATTACTCAGGGAGAATAGTACAGGCATTATCATAAAGGAATGTAAGTTTATGAAGAAATAGGAAAACATCCAGGTGTGCTATTGACAATATACATCTTCCTTTAGTAATAGTTAACATATATTAATAAACTTTATTTTAAGATCTGGTCCTTGTACAGTTGCAGGTGATGGATCAGCTGAACTCTAGTTCTTAATAGAAGGGTCATCGTTTATGTGAGGAACGATTTTCAGTTATAGAGCTCTGCCCCTGACCCTTTTATTGTGATTTTAGTGAAGATGCTGTGGTAGTTGCAGATAAAGTTAAGTTGAAGGTGGAAAGGTGGAAGGAAGCTAATAAATCAAATGCTAGATTTTCATGACCCGCACTTGTGAACCTACATGCTATGATTGCACTTTGACATATTCTCCTATCGGTATTATTCTTATGCATACCATTTTTACAGTTATAATCATGCTATCTAAATTTATCTAAAATTTTCCTATCCTGCTTTTTAAACTTAGCATTATATCATAAAATATGTTCCAATGGTCATAATAGAGATGATTTTAATGGCTGTCTAATATTATTTGGAATAGATTCGTCATAATTTACATAATCATTTTCTTTCCTAATCAATATTCAAATGTTTTCAGATGATTTTTTTCCCCCCAGTTCTTGCCCTTTCAATTTATGGTACTGTATTAAAGGCACACAGATACCTTCTTTCCTGAGGATTAGTTCTGATATTCAGCTTTCCTCCTCTCAGATCTTGGAGTCTCTGTGGATTGTTATGAGCCGAAACGTGAGCCTGCTTTTCACCACTGTCACCACGCTCCTGACCATCCTCTTCTACAGCGGGACGGCCCTTCTCAACTTCGTGCTCTCTCTGGTATGTTCGTACAGATAGAACACATCGCAATTCCTTCCACAGGGAAGCATCTTCTTGGCGTCCTTGGTGTGTCCTCCCTGTAGTCTCCAAATGTGGTTTTTTAGGAGATGCTGTCCTTTGTTTTTCAGATCATTTTCCTGACCACACTGTTTTATCTGTTAAGTTCCAGTGATGAGTACTACAAGCCCGTGAAGTGGGTGATATGCCTGACACCACTGTCTCAGCCAGGCCCTTCTTCTAATATTATTGGCCAGTCTGTGGAAGAAGCCATCAGGTGGGGATAACATTTACGCTATTCTTCTTTCCCAGAAACTTCTTTTCACAAGAAGCCCATTCGGTTTCTGTTTTGAGTCTTCCTGGTAACATTCAGTGCTAACCAAGTGAGGGAACTGCTGGTGTTTAAAAAAAAAAAAAAAATTATCTCCTTTTGAGAGGATTAGATAAGCAGTGAAAATGTTGCTAAGAAAAAATTTCAAAACAGTTCCAATATCCTACTCTCAAGCCCACGGTTTACAGAGATTAATGGCCTGTCCCCATTGGCTTTTCCTTCGCAGGCTCTTGCTCTGTGTGCCAGTCATCACGTCACTTGCTCACTCATATACCTCACCTTCTCTCAGGACTCTCCTGTTCTCAGGAATCCCAGCTCTGCTCTGGGAGGGAGTCGTTGGCCTCTGGGTGTCTTCCTCTCCCTCCGTAGCTGGGCTGTGCCTTCTGCAGGGGTAGTGTGGACACCGGCATGCGGAGGTTTGGGTTGTCTTTAAGTCATAGTCGCTGTGTGCTTTGTAGGTTCTGGCCAGAAACTTCCGTCCTGTCTTCTGGGATCCATGTATTGCAGGCTTGGTTTCTGAATGAGATGCTTCAACATTTGTTCTTTGTTTGCTTTTTCCAGGTCACAGGCTCCTGCCCCCCTTTTCTTCTTTCTCATTTCCAGTTGGGAGAGGCCTTTTGAAGCCTCGGCCTTGTCCCTCATTGCTCTGAATTTATCATTAATGCTTCATCACATTTTTACTGTTTAAAAAGAATCTTTATTGTTGACAGTATTACAGATGTCTCTCATCATCTCCCTTTTTATCCCCTTCCACCCAACTCCCATTCCACCCCAAGCCTTCCCCTTCATATTTACATTTTATGAATAGCTACTCATGTTAACTTCTCATGATATCCATTAGAGCTCCTTTATCTAGTAAGTTATTGGCTAGGTGGTTGCAAGCTTCTATTGAACAGTGGATCTTTGGCTGGCATTTCTACATGCTTGTAAAATATACCATTGCTTGGAACCAGTCTTCTGCAGAAATCTTGATTTGACTGATAATCCGTGGCTGAGCTTGGCTTTTTTTTTTTTTTTTTTTAGAAATAGTGATTTTTATTTCTGTGGAATTAAATACCTGTTGCCGAAGTCCCATTTCCCTTTGTCCAGTCATTGAAGAAGTGTAGCTAGGGCTTCAGCAGAGCTAAAATCAGAGCCAGTGTCCAGAGCTTTCTTTCCATGTTGGGAGCAGAGTCCAATCCAGTATTGATCTAGCATAGTTTTTGTTCCGCACTATAATACAACAATTCATTGCATATGGGGTCGTCAGAGCTACATGGCAGTCAAAAGACAAATCAGCATCTCCTCCCTGCAACAATTCAGCAGTATATTTTCTACAAGGTGTACTCCATAAATCTGATGCAGAACTGAGTAGAGACTCAGAAGCAGAATTGCCAGGGGAACCAGTGCTAGGGTAAGGGAAATTAAGAATTGCTGGAGGCACATGGTAGATAAGTTAAAAACTCCAGGGGATCCAGTCATAGGGAAGATTCAACAACTTTATGAGATCTACTTCCAAAGCTAGACCAGGTCCTCATGGTGAATAGTCACATCAGAGGAAAATACTCTCCTGCTTCCAACAGGAGGAGAGGAGGAACCATTTTCTTGGCTTCTTTTTTTAATGTATTCATGTACCAGCTAGTGAAGATGACCCTTGGATCTTCAGAAAACCCTCCTCATTTCAATAGGTTGGATGTTCCTCAGATACCTTCTCTCTGGGAACTTTGGTAGGTTTTCTCCCTTTTTCCTACTAGTAAGGCCTGGGTAAAGTCTTCACCAGTATCTTGCATCCTTGATTAAAAATCAAAGTGTTTTTGTTTTGTTTTTTCATTTTGGATTTAAAAAAAACCCATACAGTTCTTATCTACTATGGTACCTTTGGGGATTGGGGGGGGGGGTGTTGGGTGAGGGGGAGAACGTTGGCATTCATGTAAAGGCTCTAAGTTGGGGATCTTTCAGGATGAAGCTGTTCCTCAGGAAGAACTCCTGGCCTTTTCAGCCTGTGTGACTCTTGGTTATCATCTTCATTGAGTAAACGAATGATGAAAACTCCAGCAATAGATTAACTTGAGTTTATGTAAATGCCATTTATCTGCCAAATTTTTTTTTACCAAAAAGGAAAATAATCTTCTGTCTTCCCAGTAGAATAAAGCTAGTCAGTCCACCATCTCAAAGAGTCGCAGAATCCTCTAGTCAGTTGACTTAAGCCAAGATTTATCAAAAAAAATATCTACCTTGTCCATAGAGAACTTCAAGAAATATGATAGCTTATTTTCCTAAAGTAGTCTTTATTAGCATCGACTCTTATTCTCACAAAAGCTTTTCTATCTTTCAATCTCAGCTTTTGAATTTTCCCTTGTTCTACTTTCTTAGTGAACACTTACTAACCATCCTATGAATGTGGGTTATTGAGTCCCCATTTGTTTGTTTTTTTCTCTCTCTCATGAAAATCAAGTTATCCTTTGTTATGAAAACCAAGTTATCCTTTGCTTTATATTTAATACTCTAATGTCATGGTTGCTTATAATTGATAAGCAGAGCTATGTTTTGTGCCAGGATAATGAAAACACATAATCCTTCTGGTATTCCAGGAGGAGCTGGTTGGGGAGAAGTTCATGAGTTAACTTTGTGGTTCTGTTGAGACTATTGACACGGACACATGAAGCTGATGGCTGAAAATTCAAGTCTTTAGCTCTAGAGGGAATTTAAGATTAGAAGAGTTCAGTCATCTTCAGAGATATGAGGAAAACAGTGTCTTTATACAAATTAGATTTGCCTCGTCGACTTGAGTTTGCACACACTAATTATGCATTCTAACATTAGCCCATGTCTTGGTTCCAAAGTATACTTGGATAAAACCCATTCATTTTATCATATTATTTTTAATACAGAATTTTTTTTTCTATTTTTTATTGATTTTTTTACAGAGAGGAAGGGAGAGGAATAGAGAGCTAGAAACATCGATGCGAGAGAAACATCGACCAGCTGCCTCCTGCACACTCCCTACTGGGGATGTGCCCACAACCAATGTACATGCCCTTGACTGGAATCGAACTTGGGACCCCTTAGTCCACAGACCAACGCTCTATCCACTGAGCCAAACCAGCTTTGGCCAAAAAAAAAATTTTTTTAACAATCCTTAGTATCATCCTAATGGTCTCAAAACTGTTAGGTTTTTGTGAGTCTGAAGATAATGGTACAAAACTAGAGAGCTTATTACAGCCATTTTTCTAACCACAGCTATACCAGATTATATAAATTAAAGGTTGTAATTCAGCATGCCTTTTAGCAGTCTTAAGTGCTTTTGGTCTATTTTTTTTTCTGGGTCAAACTCAAGACTTAAAAGAAAAATGTTTGGGTTTTACATAGATGCCTCTGAAGATCCTTCTCATGTATATGAAGGCAGTGGGTTCTAGTTCTAAGAGCTTCTGTCAAACTTTGTCTTCAATGGGGAACATAGCTCTTCATGGAGAAACATTTCAAGAGGAAAAATATTGTACAGATGATAATGAAATAGTATTATAGTGTCCTGAGAGTGTAGTTTAGTCTGCAAATTACCAGTGATTAACAGACTTCATAATCATCAATCATTAGTCATCATTGATGCTGCAGTTAAGCTACTCATTAAACTCGTTTTATGGGGTCCATTAGTAAGTTAAAGATGGAATTGGAATTGGGAGTTAATTGCATGACCAGACAGTGAACATGTCTTTGTTCTTCAGGCTTTGCCTTTTGAAATATGTGGTTACTTTATAATCACTGTCTCATTGAATTTTTGAACCTTAATTGTCACTCACAATTCTGAATAAGCATTCTAAATTAAATGCGTTTGTGGTTGGGTTTTCATTTCATGAAGTTTTGAGTTAGTGGCATGCATCCTTCATTCCCAAACCATTTTCCTCCCCTTAGAGCATGTTGTGTCAAGAATGTTTGCATCATACCCTTCTTCCCTGATGCTCCCATTCTGCTTGCTCTGGTGGAGATATTGCACATTACTAAGTTGCATGTTTCACGGCCTCAGTGCAATTTAGTGTGTGTGATATTTTCACATGAGTGCATGCACACGGGGATGGCTCTTGCTTGTGGGGACGCAGCTTTTCAGTGCCAGTGGGTAGGATGTTTGTATTGTGAGGTTTTCATTTGGAAAGTGAACATGCTTCTCATGTCTTTCCCCCAATTTTGGAGGATTAAAAGTGTTTGGGTTTTTTAAAAAAAAAAAACAGTGTTGATCATTTGGTAAATCAGTACTTCCATTTTTTACGTGGAGCAAAATGTATTTTCATTGGAAAGAAATACTCATGATTTAAGGTTATAAACCTTTATTTGAAACGTGTAAGGGAAAACTTAAAGCTGTTAGAAAATGTATTTTCATTTATTTGAAGGGATATCTCTCCTAATATTGGAATAGAGAGATAGACTTTTTTATGGATAATTGGGAAATTAAATTAGCTAGAGTTCTTAAATAATAACCAAATCATTAAATATACTATTTATTTAACCTACTTGGTTAAAGATTGTTCTAATAAATCTAACCATGTACTTCTTTAAGTTTCCAAGGAAAATGCCCTTAAAAAAACTTTGTCTTGTATTTAGTTTTTCATTGTGTTGCTTTAAAAATTACTAAATTTATTTTAATATGCTTATAATAGAACTGGTGTTTAGATACAAATGTTTGCTATTTGCCTCTATAATTGAAACAATCCCTTGTTAATTTTCCAATCTCTTTTACTCTTCCAATCTCTTTTACTCTCCGACTTCTGTCCTCATGTCTCCTTCCCTGACTCTCCTGTAGAGAAGGCAAAACTGTAGTGACAGAAAGCATATCCAGTAGCTTTCAGAGATCCAGGATTAGGGAGGGATTGACTATGAAAAGGTGTGAGGGAACTTTTGGGGGTGATAGAAATGTTTTATATCTTGATTGCAGCAGTGGTTTGAAACTGTTTACGTTTGTCATAATTTACTGAATTATGTACTTAGAATTGGTGAGTTTTACTGTTATAAATTATAGTTCAATCAAGTTGAGACAGAAAAAAGAGAGAAGAAAAATGGCTAGGAATTTGAGGGCATCAAAATGTTCTTAGTAAATGGTTAGAGGAATTTCCTCTGCTGTTTTATAAAGCTTGTGTACCAGATCGTAAGTAATACGATAGGGGGGAATATGTTGTCTTTTCTTCCCTCATTGAGTTGCATGAATATATTTAGTAACTGCAAACAATATCTAATGCATTTAGGGTCCACAAAACTCCTTAAACAGTGCCTTAGTGAGAAAATCGTGAACAATCAATATTCTCAAAGACAGAAAAAAGAGAACTGTGCTGTTTCCTGCAAGCGGTCCTTTTTGGATTGAGTGTCGCCTCTTTGCCACCCCAACAGGTGATTCAGTTGTGAGATTCTACTGTACCTGTGATGTCAACTTATTTTTGGCTTAACATTTCTTAAATAACATAAGGTTGATGGAAGCACTACAACTATTATCTTTTCTCATCAACTCCCGCCCGTTCTAGTCAAATTCTGTACTTTTTTTCTTAGACTTACTTCTCATTAATTTCTCTGTGGTATTTGGTCTGTTATTATCCCCTCCTTTTCAAAAGCTGCTTTTTCTCTTGGTCTCTGGGAATACCACACTCCAGCGATTTTCTTCCTACTCCAGAAACGATTTTGTTATCTCTGGCGGGTGTTTATTTGTCTCTAGTCCCTTGGAGAGCACAGCCCATTGCCCCATTTTCTCCAGGCTTTCCCCTCGGGATAGCTTATCCGTTTCTGTGAGTAACCCCATTCTGGCGTATCTCTCTTAGGCCTCGTCTCTTATTTCCAACTACCTCATCTTCCTTTTTTCCCTAACCATTGCCCAAACTAAATGTGTTCCCTTTTCTTCCATGGCCCCTCCATGCTGGGCTTCTCCATGTCTTTGAGACACTGCCAGTTCTTTCCTCTTGCCATTTTCCTTTTCCTCTGTCTCCTCTATTCAGTTAATACTTATATTTTTTATATTTCCTGTGGGCCATCTCCACTCCTTTCCGTCTTTTTGACACCACTTTAATCTGTGAACTATTGTCAGATCAGAGGTCGCATGGCACTTTTAAGAACTTCTTGAGTGAAAGCTGCTTGGGCAGGGTGCCAAAGAAGGTTTCACATTTGGGGAGCCACTGTCACAATCCGTGTCTCCAAACCCTATTAAATGACTGAATCAGGAGGTCCCAGAGCTTGACTGCTCTGACAGGAAACCTCTTGGGCTACTTTGGAAAGCTTTCCTTTCGTGGCTTCAGTGCCATCTTTGCTGCGCCAGCCTCTGCTTTTTCCATTGCAGAGAGCTTTTCCTTCTCATGAGTATGTGAGCGTTCCTCTCCCATGCCCTCCAGAATCCTGGTTTTTGTAATTTTGTGATGCCTTGCGATAACTTAAAATTTGCTGCTCCTGACACAGTACTATCTTAATAATTTTCCACTTGAAAAGCACAAATGGAGTGCCTGAGACTGCCCTTTTTTTGTACTTCATTCCTACTAATCACAGAATATGTGCATCTGTTTTTACCCCACATACATATGTATTAGAAACCCAGCGCACAAAATCGCCCAGCCCCACCCGCTGCCCTGCCATGCTCACAGCCCTGCCCACCAGCCCCAGTCTTTGGTCCTTATAGCTTTAGGACCACGGGTTTTTGATAGATAGATAGATAGATAGATAGATAGATAGATATTTTATTTTTTTAGGGCATAAGACTTAGGGAGGTTTTATTTATTTTATTTTTCTTTATTGACTAAGGTATTATACATGTGTCCTTAACCTCCCATTGCCCTCCACCTCTTGTATTTTTGTCTCTGATTTTACTTTGGAGTTAATATATTTGGTTTTCTTTTTACTCTTTTTTTTTTCTTTCATAAATTCTTTCCCAGTGACATGCATTCGTTGATAGCATCTGCAGAAGTTACTTTGTGGGCTTGGTTGAATAGTTGAAGAAATGTGGGGAATTTTGTTAACAGAAGGAAGGCTGCTAAGTACAAGTTCTGTTATCCCTCCCTTGCTCTTCCCAAAAGGGAGGGTGCTCACGGCCTAGAGGTCTTAGAGTTTAACTGTATCCTCAGAAATACGATGTTCACACTTAATTTTTTTTTCACCTGTTTTGGCAGTAAAAGGTCTGCTTTAGAAGTGAAAAGTTGATTCATTATCTCAGTGTCTAGGGTATTTAAAGGTGTTTTATTCCACTTATCTTTCCATCAGAAAGAAATGTAAAGAGTAGTTTAGAAAACATTTCTGGGTTTTAAAAGAAGTCTTTATGTTTCGTTAGAATGAAAACAACATTCTCAGGCATTGGAAAAATTGAAGTTGTTAACAGATTTGTAACCCGAAGCCTAGCAGCCTAGAAATAGTGATTTTTCTGAATCACAATATACTATGTTTACTTACTTTTCCTTTTATCTTTGGGCCTTCTAGAGGGGTGTTTGATGCTTCCCTCAAAATGGCTGGCTTCTATGGATTGTATACCTGGCTGACTCATACTATATTTGGCATCAATATTGTCTTCATACCATCAGGTAATGACTGTGTCATAACTTTCACTGCCCTCTACTTAAGAAAAGTTAAGCCATTTTGCATACATTGGGAAGTGTCATATTCCCCAAATTGAAAATACTAAAATTTTGAGATCGAATCTAGTCCAAATTAGGAACAGAAATACAATTTGTCATGTTAATTTATTGCTGTATCCCCAGTAGCTAGAATAATACCCAGCACATAGGAAGCACTGTGTACTATTGGTTAAATGAATGAATATCTTATCACTAAGCACACCACCAACCATAATTGGCACTCAGTAAGTGTTTGGACTGAACTGATTGGCAGAAAGCAATGAGTTCGTCAAATAGCTTTGCCCCATAAAGGAGATTGTCCTTTGGGCAAGATGAATGCTTCTAAAGGCCCACAAACTGTTCCCACACCTCTTGAGGTCTGTTCTGATAATACCCACATTCCATACGCACCATGATGGTTTAATGACCACCTTTTACTTTTCTATGTTATCTCTGCTCCTCTCCTTCCACTTTTTCTACCTTTATTTCTGTGGCTGCTTGTCTTTCTAAATATATCTGCCTTCCACATTTGCCTCTACCACCAGTTTTTTCTACTCGGGTCTGTGCTCCCATCCTCCTTTACATTCCCAAGTTCATTCAGGTTGTTCCCTCTGACAGCACAGGGAGGTTGTTCATGACAGTCCTATGAAGCAGGCAGGGCAGGTAATGACCTGTCATAGAGATGGGAAACCAAAGTTTTTCAAGTCACAGGGCTAGTTCATGGTTAGGACCAGAATTGGAATCCACGTCTGCTTGTCTTTTAATCAGGAGAGCCCATGTCTCTGTAGAGTGCTTTATAAATCTTCTTTTTTTTAAAATATATTTTATTGATTGTGTACAGAGAGGAAGGAAGAGAGATAGAGAGTTAAAAACATCGATGAGAGAGAGTCATCGATCAGCTGCCTCTTGCACACTCCTTACTGGGGATATGCCCGCAACCAAGGTACATGCCCTTGACCGGAATCGAACCCGGGGCCCTTCAGTCCCCAAGCCGACGCTCTATCCATTGAGCCAAACCGGTTTCGGCTCTGTAGAGTGCTTTAATGTGATGTTCTGGAAGGAGATAAGCTTCAGTAAGATCCTCAACAAGCTGGGTGTTTTGTTATTTTTAAATTACATTTCTTTTTTTCTTTTTTTATTAGAATCAAGGTAAAGACTAATACTCATATCTGAGCTATAGAAACTGATTTTGCTTTGGACTCAGTACCAATTTTGACCAATGTTCTATAGTGATGTTATAGGAGTGTATATTAATTAACTAGCCATGGGTTCAAAGTAACCACAAGATACAGAAATTTAGTTGCTAAAAAATAGATTTATGAAGTAGACACACATTTTAGAAAGATTTTCAATATCAAGTTTTAAGATTTCAGACCATTTAACTAGCAAACTTAGTTAAACAAGGACATAGCTTTCCCTGAAATTTTGAGTTGCTGTTTAACTTGTTTTGGTGGAAATTTTCAAATGGGAGGAGTTAGTGTTCAGGTTCTGCTGTGTAGCTGTTTTGCTGATGATGTTCAGTTGCGTTTCTTAATTAATCTCTCACCAGCTTTAGCAGCCATCCTTGGAGCAGTGCCATTTCTGGGGACATACTGGGCAGCAATCCCTGCAGTTCTAGACCTGTGGCTTACACAAGGCCTAGGATGCAAAGCCGTCTTACTGCTGGTTTTTCATCTCTTGCCAACGTACTTTGTAGATACTGCCATCTATTCTGATATTTCGGGGTAAGTATCCTATAGAGCTTCTAGGTATCATGTCCAGGGATTTCTGTGGCATTTATAAGGAGAGTTTTTATATTTCTTTTGGAGATGGGAGAAAGGGCAAGGGGTGGGAGTTTTTAGTGAAGTAACTGTTTGTGTTCTCCACTATGTAATCAGAGTTTAATTTAATATAATTAATATTGTTTGCAAGGTATTTTGGTATTTTGTAAGTATAATTTATAATAAAAAACACCCCGAGTTAGAACAAAAATGTGAACAATTTAACCTAAGAAACATATTACTAGGTGTACATTAAATATTCAAAGTAACAAGTTTGTGATTATTTTCAGAAAGTCTTTGCTTTTGGAGAAAAGACATTATTAAGTTGTATGTCTGGTGATTTCCACGTAAAACCAAATCTCAAGCTAAATATTTGACAAACAGCTCTCTTATTTAAGATGTTAGATAGTATGGTTGTTTGATGGGGACAGGTTAAATTTAAAACTTGAGCCACATGATATCAAAGTGTGTGTGTGTGTGTGTGTGTGTGTGTGTGTGTGTGTGTGTGTGTAGTAGATTTTGATATTTTAGGTTCTGCTGTGTTGCTCTTTTGCTGATGATGTTCATTTAGTTATATATTCAGATTCACATTGTTTATTAGAATCTGGGATGTCACCAGATGTTGAATTTTAATCAGCTTCTTAAATTCAGGATACAGCCCACTGAGATTATCGTACTAGTAGTAAGTTTTCTTTCAGTAAAACTCATCATCACAATAAGGTTAGATGTGGTCTGAAGAGTACACCCTTCAGCTAATTTGAAATTATATAAGGACAAGTTATTTACAAAAAATATTTATGTTATGATTCATTAACAGTAGCAAAATTACAGTTATGAAGTAGCAACGAAAATAATTTTATGGTTGGGGGTCACCACAACATGAGGAACTGTATTAAAGGGTCACGGCATTAGAAAGGTTGAGAACCACTGTTCTAGGGTATATAGCTATTTGCCCCTCACTAAACTGTTATAGTTATGTGTGTTTAAAAACTAGAAACAAACAACATACCTTTTTCCAGTTCCCCTCACGGCAGTGGTCCTTGTTATCATTATCATTGTGCTGTGCTGCTATAATCTATCATTTTGTTCCATTTATGTCAGTGATATTGTGATATGCTGGAGGTCAAGTATGACTCTCTTATGAAATAAAAATCTTGGGTTTTCCAACAGATCTTTTCCTCATGAGGTTTTTTAGCAGTACCTACACTAAAAACTATACTTTTGGGAGTTGCCAGAAGTCTAACCTATGATAACAGGGAGGCTCTTATATTGTCATCATCTTTAAAAAAACATAATTAATTAATTAATTAATTACTAAATTGGGTTCGCTTAATTGTTCTTCATGGAGGTAAACTTAACAGGTGACTGATATAACCAACCGCAAGCCGGCAGTAATCCTCTTCAGGCAGCCACGTAATGCGTGCAAGGTTCCTACCTGTTAACATTACTGACTTCACTCCTCCAGTTGCAGGACCTATATGAAAGGCAGAGGTCAGACATGTTTTGTAGACAAGAAAATTCTTCCGTCTCAATGCTATTACAGTGTTCAGTTATCCACATTGAGACAATCTGAAGAGAGTGATTATATACTAGTAGTCAAAGGCCTGGTGTATTGGAGAATGACTGGTGTGTTAGAGAACGTGATACAGATTTACTCCAGGGTTTGTGTTTGTTAGAAGCCATGAGCCAATCTGTGTGCTCTTCTCTCCAGAGGCGGCCATCCTTACCTGACAGGCCTGGCCGTGGCTGGCGGAGCATACTACCTGGGCCTGGAAGGAGCAATCATCGGGCCCATACTTCTCTGCATCCTTGTGGTCGCTTCCAACATCTACAGTGCCATGCTAGTGAGTCCCACAAACTCCGTGCCCATGGCAAACCAGACTCCGTGGCCTGCTCAGAGTCAGCGGTGAGTTCAAGCAGGGTGATCTCTGCCTTCTTGACCCGAATGGCCTGGCAGGATAGAGGTGTTTCAGCACCTACACTCTGATGATTTCTCTTCTAAAACTGCCATAGAGATTTCCATGTCTGCTATTTTTTTTTTTTTCAGTCTGGTTTATTGAGGTATTATTTCTGTAAATAAAATTTTCTATAATTCATAACAAATTACCACTAATTTAGTGATTTTAAGCAGCATATGTTTATTATAGTCATCCCCACGGGTCAGGAGTCCAGGCACAATTCAGCTGGTCTTCTGCCTGGAGTCTGACAAGGCCACAGTCATGGGGCCAGCTGCAGCTGGGGTTTTTATGGGTGGATTGGGGTCTTCTACCAAGCTCATTTATTATTGGCAGAATTATTTCCTTGCACTTGTGGATCTGAGGCGTGCAGCTCCTGTAGGCCATTTCTCCAGCCCTTCATACAGGGATGTTTGCTTCCTCAAGGCCAGCTGGAGAGTGTTTTTCTGACTTCTGTCTCTGCTAAAAACCTTTTAAAGAGCTCACCTTATTAAGCCTGCCCCACCCGTCATACTTCTGATTAAAGCCAACTGATTAGAGACCTTAGTTATATCTGTAAAAGCTCTACATTTTTATAGTATTAACACAAACATATCAAAGACCAGATATTTTTGGCTTTTGGCTCATATTAAGAGTGCGACACTCACTCAAGAGCTGTGAGTGGGTTATGTATGTTACCATAATAAATCTGGTAGGGCCATTGCCTTGTGCAGCCTTTGGTGACAGTGCTTTGCGGTTCCCTTTTTGGGCCAGTAAATTCCTCAGAGAAAGATCTTCTAATCTTTTGCCTAGAGGTTGATGGCATGTTCAAGATATAAGCATTCACTCAATTACTTTTCTTTTCCCACTGGACTGTGGTTGCTGCCATTGCAGGGGCCATGTCAGTTTTAGTAACTGATGTATCCACAGCACCTGTTCACAGTGTTTCGTACTTGGAATGTGTTCACTTCCTAGTGGAAGGAACAAATGGGCTGTGAAGGAATAGTCTCTACTGAGGCATGAGCTGTGGAACGTTTGGCTTCTCCTGGGAATTGATGTTACTGTGTGATAACAGCAGGTAGATGGTTGCATTTCATTAGGCAAACTTACCTTCTAGCTGCATATGCAGGCACCGGGGACTGAAAAGATCCATTTGAAGACTCTTTCTATGTACTGCCATCTGTCTGCAGACGGATGACCAACTGTCCAGCTAAGGAGAGAAGTCGGAAAGTGGTTTCTTTAATGAGTATATTCTAAGAAGTCGTATATACTTCCCTCCCTTTAGTGTGAATGCAGCAGCATGTGCTGTGGTGAATGTCGCACAGCATTGGGCTTCCGACAGCTTCGGGCTGATTAAGTCATAATCAGAACCTATCCCTTTCTCTTCTCTGTAACACTGGGGCTGTTTGAAAGGATAAAAACACTCCTGCAATCATATGGCTTGGAGTGCTTTCTTGATATTTGGACAGGACAATCAGACTTGATTAGATGTACATATTTCACTCGTACCAAAGGCTCAGCAGCAATCTATGCATATCCAAGCTCAGAAAACCCTGTAAGGAGGAAGCAGGAGACTACCCCAGGAACTTCCAAGAATGCTGTTTTCGGCATCGTTTTCCATTGCCTTCTGTCACACTTGACCCTCCCAAAGGTGACAATTGAATGTGGTCCTTTAGGAGTTCAGCTTTGTCTTTCTCTAGGGTAGAATGATTACTGACTCATTGCTGTTTTGAAGAGTTGTTTTGTTTTTGTTTTTCATGTTTGTGAAAAATGAGATATAAAGATGTTCTTCAAAAACTTTACAGTGCCTGCCCTAACTAGTTTGGCTCAGTGGATAGAGCATTGGCCTGGGGACTAGAGGGTTTTGGGTTTGATTCCAGTCAAGGGCTCATGCTCCAGTTGCGGGCTCTATCCCCAGTGGGGGGTGTGTAGGAGGCAGCCTACTGATGATTCTCTCTCATCGTTAATATTTCTATTTCTATCTCCCTTTCCCTTCCTCTCCGAAATTAATAAAAATATATTTTAAAAAAAACATTACAGCTTCTGCAGACCTTTACATTAAACCTCAGAATTTCAGTTGGGATGTACTTTCCATCATCTTAGTTTGGTATAATGAGGGGGGAAGAGAGAAATCTGGTTACTAGGGAGCTACTGGACTCAACCTCTGCTGACTGTTGCCTCTCCTTTGACTCTGTTGCTGGCACATTTCTTGAATCAGTGCAGCCCTCTGTGTTCCCTGTGGGTTGATCCTGTGCTGGGGTTACCCTTAGGGGCCTTTTCTCCGGCCCCTGCCTCTCTAGTCTGGTTCCCCATATGGTCTACTTTCCATAGTGCGGCTAAGGGAGACCAAAGTTTACCACCCAAAATATACCTTTTGGGATATGATTTTAAGCTAGTTATTAAGAAACAGAAGACTCAGAAAGAACCTTTGACTTTTCCCTCCTTACCAATCTAAAGGAATTCGAATAGAAAAACCTGCTTGAAGGAAAAGAACATCACCTTAGCATCTTATTACAAACTAAATGTGGCAGACAGTTAGCAAAGCCTGTGTGTTGAGTCTCCTTCTGAGCCACATTGTCTCCGGGTGGCCCAGCAGGAATTGGTTACCAGGGGTTTGCCCCCTCTCAGCTACCTATGAATTGCCTGCGTTTCCTTTGAAATCCCAAACCCCTGCCTCCCCTCCTTTTTCCAGAGTGGCATGTAATCCTCAGGTGTCCTGTGTATCTTTGGATCTCTTATATCTTATGACACTCCAAGCGTACACCTATAATAAATTGTAGACATGGTTCCTGTTGCTCTTTCTTATAATTAATTTGATTGTTAGTGCAGTTAGAAGAATTTAGAGGCGGGAGTGTTGCCAGTGGAAATGGGGTCCTCTCATGGACTCAAAAAGGAAAGCTTTCTGGGTGCCCACATATGGGAGGGTCAGGGGTAGTGGTAGGATTTATTGTAGAAGCAAAAACATTGTGAAACAAGTCCAGCCTTGTCTTCATCGGGCTCAGAGCAAAAGCCAGCCTCCAGGGGGAGGTGCTTCCTCTGTGCTGTTGGTTCTGTTCCGTCCCCATCCCCCTGGGTTAGCTTCTGTTCCCAGCTGTGCCCTGGCTGGTGCTTGGAGTCCGTGGCTCTGGGGCCACAGGTGGCTGATAGGGCTTCATGGCTGTTATGAAGAGAGAATGTGTAAATAGGGCAAGTATATGTTGGGGAGATGGGCGGGGGGGCGGGGAGAAGGAAGGAGAGAGAGAGATCCCACATGCCCTTGTTAGGCTGATGATATTATTTCGGGCTTGGGAAGGACCAGGCACGTTTTTAGAATAACCAATCCACTTCCCAGTCTTTCTTGGGCTGGCACTGGGCCCTCCCTCTACCCTATCCATTTTCTAGATCTTCTGGGGTGCTGTGTCCCTTATCCAGTCCAGTCCTTTTCCCAGGCTGGGCTCTGCGGCCTTGCGATCACCATCTTAGTTCCTACTGAGCATGTCTCAAAGTAGGAGCACCTCCCCCGTGCCACCTGGCTTCTGTGCCTGTCCCCAGCAGAGGAATGTCTCCTGCTCTTTTTATTCCTCCCCCTTCCCTGGTAACTAGGGATTAGGTCCCCAAAGTGTAGGATGCAGAGGTTCCCTGGGGAGCCTATGAATGCTGCAATTTCCTAGTGAAGCAGGCTTATTACCTCATTCAGCTCCTCAGTTGATGATCTCAACAATGTTGGATTCCCTCTGCTCCCGTTAATATCAGCTACCCATGCTAACACGAGGAAAGTTATTTTTGCACCCCCACAAAGCCTCTCTGGTTTTTCTGAAGTGTAAATGTTATACTTCTCTGTACTTAAAATTCTCACCGTGGCTTTATATGGCCTTCAAGATAAAATGGAAACTTTTCATGGCTTCTTTCTGTCTGTCTCTGCAGACTCCTCTCTCTGCTGCCTGCCTTACGTTTTATTTTCTAGCCATCTTGAACTTATTTTAGTTCCCTGAGGTCAGTGTCATCTTTACACTTGTTTTCCCCTCTGTATAGAATGCTACCCCGTTTCTAGCCAAATCCAGTGTCATGGTCTATATTTAAAGTGCCTTTTTAATGAAAAGCATTGCTGGGACTCACTAGGCTAGGTAAGATGTCCCTGCTGTGTGTCCCCATAGCATGTTGTACTCCTTCTATTGGGACTTAATACACAGTGCATACATGTGCGCTTTGTTAATTGTCTCTCTCACCAGTTTTAGTTTAAATAAATTCAAGCTTTCTGAAAGTAGGAGCTGTGTCTAACTCTTTTACCACTCTTACCATTCCTGGCATGGTGTTTGGCACATAGAAAGTGCTTAGTGAAAATTTGATGAGTTAATAAGTTAGTGAAACCAAGAGAAGATTTGATAAAAAAAAAAAAAAAAAAAAGAATATTGCAATGTAACCTTGAGGTTGAAAAAGACAGACGGTACATAGTAAATCTCAGCCTTAGAAGTTTATTCCATATCTGTTAGAAGAGAAGGTATGTGTAATAGTGATGATGTGATATAAAAGTGATCACGGGTTTTGTACCTGTCTGCTGGGGAGGGTTTAGGTAATACACACTCAGCTATGCCCAGCCAATGGAAGTTAAATTTGTCACTTAATGCTCTTTATTAGTTTTTTATTTTCAAATGCTCAAAGTTTATCTGCTTCTTTGGGAGGCCAAAAGTCAACAGCTCTTGAGTTATTAAATCAGAAAAGATTTAAAGATTTACATAAAACTGAATCTTCCTAAAAATCACATTGAAATTTTAGGGGAAGCAGTTCCCCAAACATTTTTCAATGAGCAAAGGCTTGTGAATGGGAAACCACACTGCACATTGTCTGTTGCCCTTAAAGGAGCTCTAAATGCTCACAGCTGTCCTTTGTCCCTGCTCATCCTGCAAGGCTGGTTCCACCACCCTGGTTCTGAGGAGCATAATAATCCTATGGTTTGGGAAGAAGACTATAATTTGGTAGTTTAGATAAGACATTCACCATTTTTAGAAATAATGTCAATGTAGTCTTTATTTCTTTTCCCCCCCCTGATCTAGAGAGCTGTCATTTTATGAGCCCTTGCAATTAGTTAGCTCTGTGCCTCTTGATGAGGCCAGAAAGAAATCAGAGAAAGACAAATCCCTTATGATTTCACTTATATGCAGAATCTAAAAAAAAGAATCGCCCGATTGGAGTAGCTCAGTTGATTGAGCGTCGCCCTGTGCACTGAAGGGTTGCTAATTTGATTCCTTATCAAGGCACATACCTGGGCTATGGGTTTGATCACCAGTTGGGGCACATATGGAACGCAGAGGACAGATACCAGTTTCTCTCTTCCTTTCTTTTTCTCTCCCTCTCCTTTTCTCTCTCTTTTTCTCCCTCTCCCCCTTCCTCTCTCTACTAAGCATGTTCTAAGGTGAGGATTAAAAAAATAAGTCCTTTTAAAAAATAAAACCAAACTTATAGATACAGAGAACAGATTGGTAGTTGCAGGGGGTGGGTCAGATGCAGGGCAAGTGACCTGATTTTATTTTGTAATTTTAGTTTAAATAAATTCAATTAAAATGTTTTTTAAATAAATTATTTCTGCATCTCTAGATTATGGAGTTTGTTTTTCAGGAGGAAATTGGAAGGTGGTTTAATATCAATGTTATGCCTATAAGGTTTTACACACACCCCACCTTCATCAACCTAAACATCTAAAGAAGAGATAATGTTGAGATGGAAAACTCTCAGTAACTTAAAAAACTCAGTAAGTGAGTTTTCTCAGCTTGCTTAATTTAATTTCCTTTCTCCTGAGTGCATTTGGAGGTTTTCTTGGCCTGGAGGGAGCATTGAACAGAAGGTATGAATTTCAACATTAAGGCTAAGCTTACTTGTCAACAGAAGGCAGTCGCCAGGCCAACCACAGTCTTAATCTTATATCATGCCTCTTTGCCTGAGGCAGGACTTTTCATTCATCGTCTGATGAATTGTCTCATTAGAGATCCAGACTTGCAAGTAACTTAGAAATTTGAAAAGATGTCAGAGATGAATTTAGAAACTTGTTGGGTGTTGGAAATGCTGTTTGGTTATTGGCCAGTTTTTGGTTATTGGTTGTGAAGCCTTTCCAGGGGTTCCCAGACTTGAGTACTGCCTGAGATGGTCATCAGACATTTGGTAGTCATCTTAGCCTCTATACAGGTGTTAAAACACAAATTTGGGGGGCGCTATGAAAAATAGATATATAAATAAATAAATAGGTATCTAGAGCAATGGTTGTGGAGGGGGTAATTTTGCTCCTCTTAAGTGACATTTGGCAATGTCTAGAGATTTTTCGATTGTCACAACTGTAGTAGAAAAAGGCAGAAATGCTGGTAGACATAATGCCAACAATGTCAGTAATTATGCTATTGAGAAGCCCTGATTTGATTAATAGACATATTGATAGGTAGTAATATGTATAAAGCATCTATAATAATAAAAGCGTAATATGTGAGGGAAGCCCTGGTCTTGTGTGCCAGAGGGAAGCTGGTGCCAGCAGCTGGGGGAAGGGAGACCTACTCTTGCATGAATTTTGTGCATTGAGCCTCTAGTGTGTATATATATAAATCGTAGTTTGGGGGAATTTTTCTCAGAGTTTAAAGTTATTTAAGGAAACAATTCATTTTGATTCCTAGGCCCATCAGCATATATTCAATATGGTGGTTTTGGCCACATCACACACAAACCCTTTTGAAACGCCAGAGCCAGAGCCAGGAAGCTCACCCATTACTCAAAACTGTTCTTTTGGAAGCAGAACTGTGCTAGTTGGTGGCACGCTTCAGAGGCTTAAGGCACCACCCATTGAAAAAATCTTGAGACAATTGAGCATCCTTGATGTAATCTCTTTCCTGTACATTTTACCTGCGCCCCTCTTGATTTTTAAGTATTCCTGGCATAAAAGGGTCAGTCTTTAATTTACCTCTGCCCTCTCTAGCTCACCCTCCTAAATATGCATATGAACTGAAAATTGGGAAGACAAAAAAATGTACCGGTAAGCGGTGGCATGGAAGTGAATTGCACCTGAAGTTCAAAATTATTAGCTTTGCAAATTTTTAAGTAAATTGTATCTAACGACAACTTTTTGTCATCTTTTGTATCCATAACTCTGAGTGATTAACTGAAGCTTTGTAACACTTTTCTTATAGTCTATTTCAGGTCTATTTCTAATGAAAAAGTTAATCTTTTTGATTATAAGGTATGAAAATAAAATGGGCTTTATTTGATAAATAATGTAAGAAGGAACAATGTGATGTAGTGATGTGACTACAAATTAATACAGAATAACTTGAAGACTTTAAGATTGTTTTTGAAAACTAGCTTGTTGAGCTCAGATGTTTTTCTGGGTTCCTAATTGGTGATACTGCTGTAAAGGAGCAAGGTAACTTCTAGCTTAAAGGATGGCAATGAACTTCTGCTTCACTCTTGTGCCCTTTAAGATAGATTTAGCTTCATATAGCCCAAAACAAACAAACTCAAAAAACCACTGTCAGTAGAACTCAAATGACTTAAAAGAGCTAGAGGTTGAAAACAGTCCAGAGGCAGGCAGTCCAGGGCTGGTATAACTGTTCCACATCATCCCACCGAGCCTCCCTCCTCACTGTTCTGCCAGCCTTGGTGTGAGGTCTTTTCCTCTAAGGCGGGTGCTTGGGCTCATGTTCATTGATAAACTCTGCCCTGGCCAGTTGGCTGCCAGCACAGATGCAGGCCTGACTGGGTGACATAATCCTAGCTTGGCCATATAAATTATGTAGTAAAGGCAAATGAGCTACTACAGTCCTGATGAGCTACTAAGTCTTCAAGTTATACTGTATTAATTTGTAGTCACATCACTACATCACATTGTTCCTTCTTACATTATTTATCAAATAAAGCCTCATAGGTGCAGCACACCACCGCTATACAGCCTGGATGCTACCTGCCAGTTGGTGATACACACTTATGTGCCTATGTGGGTCAGACAGTTCAGTACCAGGCAATTTGGTGAAAAGATGTCACCTCATTTCTTCTGCCCTGAACCACATCCCTCAGAGCTTGGACTCTGCTGGGTCCGGTTTCCTGTTTTGTAATAAAACTTACTCACTTGGCTTTTGATCTTTGATATTCCAGTGTTTTTCTCTAATATCCTCGTGTACACTTCTCAGCTGGCTAAAGGGTGGGAGGGAAGATCACCCTTCTCTTTTAAGGACACTGCTGAGAAGTCACACTGCTCTTCCACTTACATCCTATTGGCTAGAACATAGTCACATGGTTGTTAATTTCAAGAGAAATACTTTTTTTGGATGGAAGATAATGGACTCAGCAAAGAAAACAAAACAAAACTCTGGAGTTCTTGTTACTAGCATACTTTGAAATAATACTCAAAATATCAACTCGTGTTAATATTGAGAAAAATGACTCTATAACCTCATCAAGGCTCTCAGATTATAAAAATAAGTTATTATTCCATGGCATTTATTTACTGGTTAGGTGCTGTTTTCCTTTCTTTTATTAGTATCTCATTCCTCCAACCACCTCATTTTCAAAAGCAAAACGAATTTTATTTTTTCTTATAGGACTTTCCGTGACATTTCTGAAGATCTGAAATCTTCAGTGGACTGACACAGCTTCCACTTCAGTGATTTCTCTAGGAAGTTCCACCTTGATTGTGAGTTCAGCTCAGCTGTATGTCCTATCCTTTCGGCTGTGCCTGGCACACAGAGACGGGGGAAGAAGCGGAGTCTCCCGGCCTTCCTGCAGAACCCGTGGGCAAGAGCGGACTTGCTGTGAGCTGCTTTGCATTTTAAAGCACAGCTTTAGAGCTCCCAGATGTGGTTTGCTCACCTAACTTAAGAGTTTCAGTGTATACACTGGTACCATGGCTTGAAGTTTACCCCCTTTGCTTATCTGTAATATTATAATATGTATTTATAAAGTTATTTTTTAAGAGCCCTAAACTTCCTACACTTAAAAAGGACATACATGTAATTTTTCTCCTGTTATGAGAAATCTGTTTATAAACTTTTCTACGACGGTCACTTTTCAATGAAAAGGGCTTTCACTTTGGAGTACGTAGTTGCTTGAGCAGAAAGAATGTGTCTACTATCCTTTTCCCACAAGGTATGGTCCTCTCTAAGGAAGAACCAGCCTCCCGTGGAAGAGCAGCTGGCTCACCTCAAGTTCAGTTAGTTGTGTGTTGCAACCCAAGGAGAGACAGACTGATTGAAGCTCTCTCTCCCCTTTCTTCTGCCTCCATCCCCACATTGCACTGTTGCCAAATTTCTAAAACTTGGCAGACCAATGGCACTGAAGTGAAATACATGTCCGCTGCTATTAATGGTAACAAGGTGATAGAATGCGTGTGTGGTTTTTCTTTTTTCTTTCCAAATGTTTCAAGTGAAAAGATCTCAGGTGCATCAGTACTCTGATTTGTTAAATGTATCCCTGTTTCTCCATTTGGAATTCTGCCACTTGGTTCCTTACAGACCAGAATTTTACATTTATGCAGTATTTTCCCATCACTTAGCACAGTGCCTTGCACATGAGACTCTAGACGAATGCCTGTTGGAAAAACATTGTAACTTCTTGAATTTAGCAGATATAACAATAACCAGGATAGTGCTCTTACATTTTACAAAGTCTCTTTGCCTGTAATTATTTCACAATTTCACATAACCTTTCCTACAGCATTATGTTGTTTTATAACAGTTTCACGCAGATGATGAAGCTAGGGTTCAGAAAACTGACAAACTGAAAGTTATAAAGTTCAGTAAGATTTGGCCTCCTACCTTCTGACTCCATAAGTCTGCAAACTCTGCGTATGTCGTAGTGTTTCTTCTACTTCCTTCCAGTTTTCCGTGCTGGGAGATGCCAGTAGAATAGGTGTCCTTGGATTTGTCCTCCTGTTACTGAGAGCTGGGAGTAGAACCCAGCTCTTGGCTCTGTGCCCTTGCCATCATATAAGACAGTCCTCAGGCTCTCTCTCTGCCCCCAGGGGAATGTGGAAGAGAAAGGTTTCTTAAGAATTAGAGATCACCGGTTTGGAAAACAGTTAAAAGTATAAATTATTTTATCTTGAACACTTTTTCACTAAAAAGCACAGTTAGTATAACTAGTTAAATTTATTCTGATATTAAGAAAAACTCCATTTAGAAGAGAGGCTACCGTGAAGTCTTTGTTTATAGAGTAGACTATGTGCACATCTCTAATTTTTCCTATGAACCCTTTAACAATTACAATTTGATATAACACCAAAGGTACATTTGGCCACTAATTAATTATTTTCCTTAGTTTGTTGTTTAATCATTTATTCAGTAAAACATTTGCTAAGAGTTTGCCAAACTCTAGGCCCAAGCCAGGCACTGACAGGGTGCTGTAGGGGATAACTCCTAAGCAGTCCTTCTCTTCCGTAAATCTTAGCTAGATCGTGTGTATTGCCAAAATAAAACATTTGCATTAAAGGGGTAAAAAATAAATAGGGTTTGTATCTGTTAATTGTGTACTGGTAAGTTTATAGCTGTAATTTGCACACATTCACAAGAGGTAATGTTATACACAATGAGTTGGGTGCCTGTACAGATTATGCTTTTTCCAAGTGCTTTTAGTGGTACAAAGTGATATTGCAAAAAAACTAAACTTGAGCTAATGTATGGCTATTGCTGGTCATAATTATTCTTAGAAGTACCATGTTGGTAGAAGGGGTGAAAGGGGGGGGAGGGGAACCTCTGAGCTCTAAGAGACTAGGTTAGAGCTGCCAAAATGAGCAGTGATGCAATATCTCCCTGGAATAGCAGAAACAGAGGTGCCCTAGTGCTACCCAAGCTTGAGCAGGAATTGAAGTGGCCCCAGCACTCCAGCAGCTGAGTAAGGACAGGGAAGCAGGCCGGCTAGGAGAGGTCTTCCTGGAACCCTCACAAACATGCCCTTCAGGAGTAGTGAGGTTGTGCAGAACCTTCACAGAGCAGAGAGATCAAGTGGTATGAAAAGGTAGGAGTCGCCAGCTCAAGTTTTAAAGATTTTCAGCCCTCAGGTTCTCAGTTGAGATCTGACCCAGAAAGAGGGAGAAAATGCATCGATGAGGTAGAAGTAGCCAGTAAAAACTGAGTTCAGAAATCCCATCACAATGTCTTGCATTTTACAGCTCAATTAAAGATTAGTATTAAGTTCGCATTCATTATTCAGTTATAAACTAAAGGGAGGAGATAAAAACTCTCCACACAACCCTGCTTCTCTTTTTCTTAGAGAACAGGCATGTGGAATTCAGCATAAACTCCTTATATAAGTCTTCCTGCAGTTCCAAAATTCTTACCATACTCTCTGTTCCTGGAAGTGATCTCTGTCAGACTGCTTTAGATTCCAGTCTTATTTATTTCTTTTCCATTTGCAAGGAATCCTAACACCCCCTTCCATTAGAGGGGGTGAGTTGGCAGAGGGTTCCCTTGACCTCTGAGGCTGGTGTAGAGCGACCCTGGGCATGGGAGGATACCCGAGAATTGTTATGGAGATGCTATATTTAAACAAACTCTGTAGCTCTTGGAAACGGCAGCTGTTTATTCCAGTTAAAAAGGGCTGCTCCAGGGCTTACAGATAAAATCCTCTGGCTGACCTTGGTCTTAGCAGGAACCCATCAGTGACCCTTCAGGACTTCCTAGTACCACTGGTTCTCACTTTCATTGTAGTTAGCATTTCAGGAAGTGTCCCTGCTGGGCAAGAAATACTCAGAAATTCAGGCCATGAGAGTTAGATTAGAGCAGAGTAATTTTTAGATGAGCTATCTAGAGCTTTCCATCCGGGGTTTATAGGAAAAAACCCCTTCGGAACTTCCTAGACCCGGAGGGTCTCCTAAGACCCCGACAAGAGTTTTACAGTAGGCACTTCACAGTGGAAATAGCTTCTGACAGTAAACTTCCAAATACTAGTTCCAGCTAAAAATAAGTACTTTTGTTTTTATTAACTTGTTGCCTTTATATAGTTTGCAATCAAAATATATCCATTTTACTAATTTACTGAGGACCTGCAAAAAATGTGCATACCCTCTGAAACACTGAGCAGGTATCTTTTGATAGACTTGATTGACAGTTCTTTCATTTTTAAACTGTCTATTGGCATCACTGACCATTCTGTGCTGGAACGGGCCTTATATAATGAGGTGGCTCTGTCATTTCCTAGAGAAGGGAACCAATCCCAAGGTCCAGGCGGCTTTTCTAACACACACAGCCAGTTAGTAACAGAATTCAGAATAGAGCACAGTTCTCTTTTTCTCCCAGTCCTATTTCCCTTTCCCTTTTCCTCCTAGTCAAGTAGCTCTTGGAAAAACATCTTTCTTGTAGTAGTTGTTCAAATGGATGTTATTAGATGGTGTCAGAGAATACAGTGTGCATGGGGGAGAGGGCGCCAAGGTCAATGAAAACTGAGACATGCTGGGTTGGTTTTCTTTCTGTAGGACTTCTCAGAGTTTTTGACTTGCTAGTATATATTGTGAATTGATGAGGGGGCAAAGACTGGGTTTACTTAGACTTATTTGATCTTGAACTGCGGCCCCACGCTTCCTTTTCTCAGAGTATCTCAAAAGTACTACCTTTTGGGAAACATAGCTCTACAGTGAGTTTACAGCTTTTGTGGAAGACAACCTTAGTGGAATTTCTGAAAGGTAAATATGTTACCATGTTACCCTGTAATCGTAACAAATCTCAAAGTTTACTGAGAATACTAGAAAGAAAACATATTTGCCCTTGGGAACTATATGTATAGAAAGTCTTCCCACCTGTGGTGCATAAAATCAGTATTCGTGTTTAGTTTTGCAAGTTTTTCAAGGATCAATTTATGTGCAAATACAGTGGTGATATATTGATATTACATTGTAATAATGCTTTTGTATGGCACTTTATAGTTTTCGGATTGCTTTCATAACAACCCTGTGAGGTAGGCAGGTGTTAAGTATTATCAGATGAGGCACTGGAGGCTCAGAAAGGTTTTTGTGATTTTTTTTTTTTCTCCCCCCTGAAGTTTGTAGCACAAAGTAATGGAGCCAGAATTCAGTTTCAGAATTTCTGACTCCAAGTCCAGAATTATTCGCACCTGGTTTCTTGCTCTTCCAGCTTTATATTTTACAATGAAAGGTGTGAAAGCAATTCTTAAAAGTAACATCATTTTGGCTCATTATCAAACTCTGTTTCTTCTTTATTGCAGTGACTCAAAATTTAACTGCTATCCCAAAGAAAATCCTCTTTTTCTCCCTTGCACTGCCAATTTGTTTAGGTGACTGGAGTGTGACACAGGCACCATTTGACTTTGAAACCAAAATTGGATATATAATTGTGATTGCTTATGTAATTTTGGAAAACGTACCATCTCTGCATTCTCAGACAAAGTAGAGATGAGATGGTGGGAAAGTAAAAAAAAGAATATTCTAATACAGTACACCTCTGTTCTCTCACAAATGGTGTTTCTTAGCTTTAACTTACTTTGACAACCTACTGATGTAAGTACTTTGTAAATGTAAAATATTTATATTTTGAAATAAAATAACTGGTGTTGAATGAATCTGGTGGTAAACTTAGTCTCATTTATGTTGAGAAATTTGATCTTTTGTGAAGCCAGACTTTCACAAATACACTGTCTCTTGGGTCTTAATCTCCTCCTTTGGCACCACTTCTTACACTGAAGTTTTATGAAATAAGGGTCACTTACAAAGGAAGATGCATGTGGGGAGTGGATGCTGGGCATCTTAAAGAGGTAAAAGGATCCAAGGCTGAGGTTGGAGCCCTCAGTACACAGGATAAGGTGGCCTTAAGGTGAGTGGATAAGGAAATGATGAGGTGGATGGCTGAGGAGTAAGCATGGGGGAAGGGAGTTGTATAAAGGAACTGTACCTTTTGAATGAGCAAAATAAGCCTAAGTTATGGCAATATTCAAGACCAGAGACATAGGTGCAGCCCTGGCATCTATGCCAGGCAGCTCCAAACTGGAAGATGGAGCTGGACCCACAGTGGAAGTCCTGTGAAACACCTGTGGGTGATGATTGCCAAAGAGCTTGCTGACACCTCGAGTTGGCGGTGTTCAGCTCATCAACCTGACATTATGGATGGAGAAATGATTCTGGCTGAGCTGTAAGGGTGGACTAGCCAGTCACACAGTTTTTAAAATACATACATATATATATTTTGATTTTTTTTACAGAGAGGAAAGGAGAGGGATAGAGAGAAACATCCATCAGCTGCCTCCTGCACACCCTCTACTGAGGATATGCTATTAACCAAGGTACATGCCCTTGACTAGACTCAAACTCGGTACCCTCCAGTCTGCAGGCGAACGCTCTGTCCCCTTAGCCAAACCAGTCAGGGCCAGTCACTTAGTTTTTCTACTCTAATGGTTTCTCGTTGGCAGATAATGCCTGTTCACAAAACATTTCTATTTGCATCTTAGTCTGTTGCATAAGACTAGACTCCTTGAGAGCCAGCGAGTGTGCTCCTGACAACCTCCTTTGGCTTCACCCTGGAATCCATAGGCAAGGGGTATTCAGCTTCCCATTCCAATCCCGCAGGGGCTCTGTGCTTCTCAGCCTTACCCTTACTGAGTTTAGCCAGAAGTAAACACTGATGATCGTTTCAGGCAATGAGCAGCTGTTAAGAAACTGTTCTGTGCTAGGCAACAGGAGAAAAATAATTTTGAAAAGTAGTTTTCAAAAGTAATAGTGTTGAACTGTAGGTGAAGCTTTTTCCTATGCTCTCCTTAACTTCCTTTTCGGGAGTAATTCTGAAAGATACCCAATATTTGCAAAATCAAATATTTCATCTCAATCCAGCTCAAGGTATTGTGAGAAAGACACAGTCTCAAAAGGAGCCACGCGGAGGGGAAATGGGACCTCTGAAGTCCTATTATTGGTGGAATTCCCGCCGCAGGGCAAATGCCCACCCTTCAGACTAGACTCTGGTTCTGCCCCACTAGTTATTATAGTTTCACCCCCAGCGCAGCTTCTACAAATTGTCGCCGCATGGGAGAACGACTCGTCGGTCCCAGGACCGGAAGCTTTGCCGGGACGGTTGTCCTTGTCGTGGTAAGAGGCCGCGGGAGGCCCCCAGGTGACCTGTTCTTTATTCCAATGGGGCGAGACGTGCGTGGGAACCACTGCAGAGCGGTCTCCGGGGACCGACGGGGCGGGGCATGCAGGGGGCGGGGCTCGGCGGCGGTAAAGCGGCAGGTGGGGCGGGGCCCGAGTTAGGGGCGGGGCTTCGGGGCGAAGCCGACCAGAGGGCGTTGGTGCTATGGGGGCGGGGCCTTCAGGGGGCGGGACTCGGCGGCGGTAAAGCGGGACGGGACGGGGCGGGGCCTCGGGCGGCGGGTGCATTGCCGCCGCCGCGGGCGGGCTGGCTGGCAGGCGGCGGGCCCGCAGTGGCGCGGCGTCCGAGCTGTGCGACCGGGGGGATGGCCATGGCCGCCTCTCCGGGCACCGCGGGCGTCGGCGGCGCCGGGGCAATGCCTGGCTCCGGCCCGTCCGGCTTCGGCTTCGACTCGGGGCTCGAGATCAAAACGCGCTCGGTGGAGCAGACGCTGCTCCCGCTGGTCTCCCAGGTAAAGTGGCTCCCGGCGCGGCCCCTCGTCTCCTGCGGCCGCGGCCCGCGATGGCGGCCGGAGGCAGCGCTGCCCCACATTCCGCGCCCGCACCACGGCGCGCGTGTCCGCCCTCCGGTCCGGGCTGGGGTCCCGCGGAGGCGGCGGGAGCCGGGACCCTCCGACATCAGGAGGCGAGGCCGCGGGGGCTGAGCGCGGGGGCGGCGGCGGGCGCGGGTCCCGGGGCGGACCGAGTGCCGGCCGGCAGGTGCGCCCCGGCCTGACCCGCCGGACCGGCTTCGGGGCTGCGGCTCGGGCGTCCCGGTCCCCCGCGGAGGGAGGGCAGCGGAACCCAGCTCCCGGAGGCAGAGAGATCCTGGCCGGGGCCCCCGCTGGCACAGAGGGACCCTCCTCGTCGCCCCTTTCTAACCCGCTGCGGGCTCACGTTTGCTTTCCCAGCTCAGATCCGGGCTGCTGGCCGCTCCGGCGGGGGCTCCTCCGCCTCCAGCTCCAGCGCTCCCCGGGCCTTTGTCCCTTCCCCGCCGCCGGGTGCGTGCGGCTCGCGGCTCCCCTTCCCCGGGCCGCCTGCCCCTGTCCCTCACCTGCCTGCTCCCGCCGCTGGCTTTTGTCCCGCCTCGGGAGAGTGAAGTGAAGGGCTGTCTGAGAGCTAATCAGGATACACATCTTTTATTTTTTCCCTTTTTTGCCAAATTCCACTTGGGCTTTATGGTTTATGGTGTTTGCTGGTCCAAACCGAAGTCTGGAAGCAGCTAATGGATGCGCTTAGTTTTAGAGAAGTTTTTGTTACCGTGAGCCGAGCCGTGGGCCGGGACCCCCGCTGGCACAGAGGGACCCTCCTCGTCGCCCCTTTCTAACCCGCTGCGGGCTCACGTTTGCTTTCCCAGCTCAGACCCGGGCCGCCCGAGGGCTCGAATTCCTCACCTGGATGAGCTGTGTGCCAAGTGCTGGGCGTGTGTGTGTGTGTGTGTGTGTGTGTGTGTGTGTGTGTGTGTGAAGAATCCTGTGCCTGGGGGCGCGCGTTGGCGGTGTGTGACTCACGACTAGAATTGCAACGTCCTGATGACTCACTCATATTGCCGAAATTTTCGAGGTGGAGGGAATCTTCGAGACTACCTGACACAGTTTTTTAGGGAAAAAAAAAAAGAAAAAAAAACCTTTCTTACAGCATCCTTTGACATCTGGTCGCCAGTCCCTTCTGTAAATGTGTTCTGTTTTGTGATGGGAAGCCGGGAGCTGGTCCACAGAATTCTAAATGCCATCTCTTCTCCATCCCACTCCTGCCAGCCCTCGAAGTCAGCAGGCACACATGTCCCTAGGTCCCTGGGATGCTGATTCAATGAACAGTTCCATGTTTCTTCCTCATTGTAACCTGGCTGACAAAGCAGGCAATGAAATACACCTGACAAGCTCCCCTCCCCCTGCCCCTCCCATGGCTGACATAAGCACTGAGTTGTGGGAAGGATTGCTAAAATCACTTAGTTATATCTGCACCGCCCCTCCCCTCCAGAGACTACCACCACCACCAATAGGACCACAACCCCCAGGGAGACACAGGGGAGTCGTTTAAGGAGACACGGAAATAAGAGCGTGGTGGGAGTTCAAGTTGACAGAATTTTGTTCATTTATTTACCATTGACTCCACGACAGGCCCTGTTCGAAGCATTTTATAAATATTAACTTAATGTCATAACAATCCCGTGAGGTAGATAGATGTTTATTCTCGTGATATGGCTGAGGGAACGGAGAAATAGTGAAGTGAAGTAACTTGTCATGGGACTGAACTGTAAACATCAAACTGGATTTGATCCCAGGCAGCCCGGCTCCGGGGTCTAGGGTCTTAGCATTTGCCTGTGCGTTTCTAGCAATTGGAAGCAGCGAGAAGGTCAGCTAGGAGCAGGTTCAGAGAAGAGAGTCTACAATGGAAAAACAAGCTCCAGAAGGCTGTAATCTGAAGAAATGGTAACTTTTCACAATATCACTGCTAAAAAAAAAAAACACCAAAAAAACCCCCGAATCAGTCCTACAGCTGTGCCTTGTGTAATTCTGGGGTAGAAGAGGGTGGAGGGAGGAGGAGAGTGGAGGAGGAATGTATAAATCGCTGCTGAGAGTTAACTAGAGGTCAATGCCAAAGAGGGAAATGCCAGTTTTTTTCCTTCCCTATTAAAGACTCATTCAGGCCCATAGCTGAGGTCCTGCATCCCACACGTTCTATAGCCACAACAATATCTTTAGCACAATACCATCACTGATGATCCTAATGACAGACTGTACTCAACAAGAAGAAAGTTAAATGATGCTTAACATGAAAAAAAAAAAAAAAAAGAGAGAGAGTATAAAGCATAGCCAGGGTGCTGTTAACAAAACAGGAATGTGTGGAGTACAATTAAATAGGATTTTTTGCCGGCCTGTGTGACTCAGTGGTTGAGCATCGATCCTCGAACCAAGAAGTGACCACCGGTTTGATTCCTGGTCAGGGCACAAGCTCAGGTTGCGGCCTCGATCCCCAGTAGAGGGTGTCCAAGAGGCAGCAGATGGATGTTTCTCGCTGATGTTTCTACCCCTCTCCCTCCCTCTCTAAAAATCCATAAAAACATTTTTTTAAATAAAATGATTTTTAAGTTTCAGTGAATGTTAGCAGATTAAAGCTGCAGCTCTCCAGAAAACTCGTGTCCAAGAATCTCCTTTTCTAAGGATGCTGCGTTATTATTGCAACTCATGCTTCATCATCTTATCCAAAAACTATGTCAAGAATTTTAACAAAGCATTTGTTGTGTGCTTGCTAATTGCTGCTTTTTGAGGGTCTTGTATTCTAGCTGGGAAACAGGTGTACAGAATAGCACATCAAGTGTCAAATGAACATTGTCAATAGTAAATGCTCTAGTCCTAGCTTGTTTGCTCAGTGGCTAGAGTGTCGGCCTGTGGACTTAAGGGTCCCGGGGTTCGATTCCAGTCAAGGGCACATCATACCTGGGTTTTGGACTTGATCCCCAGTAGAGGGCACACGGGAGGCAGCCACTCGATGATTCTCTCTCATCATTGATGTTTCTCTCTGTCTCTCCCTCCCCCTTCCTATCTGAAATCAATAAAAATAGATTTTTAAAAAGTAGTAAATGCTCTAAGAGCTCAGAGGAGGCATGGATGAGTCAGGAGCGATGCCATAGAGGAGACAGAGTCTTGAGGTGAACAAGAAGGGCTAGCATTGGACAGTTTAGTGAGTTTCTACTCTGATGCCATCTAACCTCTCTGACTCTCCAAGTAAGAAGGTCAGGATTACTGGCCTTATTCTAGGAATGCAAGGTTGAATCAGTATTACACAACTACATACAATTTTCTGCATTTACATATTAGAAGAGATGTATTTTCCTATCAGATGCAGAAAAAGCCTTCAATTAAATTCAACTTCTAAGCATGATAAAAAGCACTTAAGAAACTAATAGCAGAAGAAAACTTCCTTAACCTGATAAAGTATATTTGCAGAAAACCTACAGTTGACATCATAGCAATAAGTAAAAATAAATAAATAAATAAAAAATAAAAGTTTTTTAGTCCACACCAAGGATATGTTTTTATTGATTTGAGAGAGAGAGAGAGAGGACGAGAGAGAGAGAGAGAGAGAGAGAGAGAGAGAGAGAGAGAAAGAGAGAGAGAAAGAGAAAGAGAGAGAGAGAGAGAGAGAGAGAGAGAGAGAGAGAGAGAGAGAGAGAGAAGAGGTGTGTGAGAAATACTGGTTAGTTGCCTCACCCTGATAGGGAATCGAACCCGAAACCTAGGTATGTGCCCTGAAGGGGAATTGAACCTGTAACCCTTTCAGTGTACAGAACAGTGCTCCACCCACCCAACTGAGCCGCCCGGCCAGGGCTTAGCTGGATTTTTAAAGGTAGAATTTGATAAAGGTAATCCTAAAATTTATATGAAAGAGTAAAGAGCCAAGAATAGCCAGAAGAGAAGCAAAATGGGTGGACTTACTCTACCAGATTTCAAAAGTTGTTATAAAGCTATCACAAATTAAGACAATATGGGTATAAAGATAGAGATGGACAAATAGAGTAGTGAAACAGAATGCGAACCTAAAAACAGATCCACACGTGGAAACTGGGTAAATCACAGAATTAGCTCTGCTTGTCAGTGGGAAAAGGAAGAACATTTTTTAAAAACGGGTCTGGACCTGGCCAGTGGTCTCAGTGGTTAGAGCATCAGCCCATGCACTGAAGGGTTGCAAGGTTGATTCCTTGTCAAGGGCATGTATCTGGATTGCAGGTTTGCTCCTGCCCCGAGTCGGAGTGAGTAGGGTAGGCAAGCAGTTGATGTGTGTCTTTCACATCGATGTTCCTATCTCACTTTCCTCCTGCCTCCCTCCCTTTCACTCTCTGAAAAGCAATGGAAAAAAATAACCTCAGATGATGATTAACAACAATAACAAAATAATAATAAAAGGATTAAAAAAAATAATGAGTTAGGGCAATTGGTTATCTAAATAGAAGCACATGAAACTGGATCCATACCCCTCAGAGAAACCCCTGTGTGTGTGTTAGAGACATGGATTAGAATTTTGGCCTTTTTTTCTTTCTTTACTTCTTATGGCCCCAAACAGGAAACAACCCAAATGTAGGATGTTTGAATAAATTGCGCTATGCTCATGAGACACTCTATGAGATTCTCTACAGCAGTGAAATGAATGAACCATGGATATAATTAGCTATATGGATGGGTCTCAAAAAACATAGTATTGAGTGGGAAAAAATTAAAGGTTCAAAACGTAGCAAAACAAAACCATATGTCATTTAGGGATATAACACGTGCGCAGTAATTATAATAAGGGAGGGATGAGCATTGAATCAGGGCAGTGTTCTTTTCCGGGGGAGGGAGTGATACAGAAAGGGAGGGACCCACGGGCAGTTGGGTTGTCTGAGGTACTGACAGTGGTTTCTTCAGCTCAGCGGTGGTTGCCTATGTCTTCACTTCATTTCTTCAAACTGTACGTGTCTGTTATACGCACTCAT